TAGACCCCGGCGCGAAAATAATCTTGAGGTTGTGCTCGTGCCCATGCAATAGTGCCTTGCCAAGCCGGCGACTTCGCAGCAGCATTACTAAACATGGCATGCCTCGAGATAACACCCATTCCTCAGGTCATGGCCAGCCGACGTCGCCCGCTTGAACCAGAAGCGGCGCCAGCTGCAGAGGGAGCTCCCGCTGGCTCGCGAAGATGGCGGCGAGACAGGCAGAGCAGACAGTGCATGAGGCCAGGATGCGAGCGCCAATATGTTCGCTGCAAGCATAAGCACTGCTGCTCTTTGTGCTCCTTTGGACGGCATACAGAGAGGTGCGACGAAGATTGGCAACTCTTTCAGGAGCGGCAGCAGTGGGCCAGGAGCAGGACCCAGATTACACCATGTGCAGCTGGCTGCGGACGTTTCGCAGGAGTTGGTCATGTGCACTGTTGTACCTTGTGTGTTCGCAGCCAGGGACGAGACCACACAGAGCAGTGCCAGGCCCGACAGCAGTTTGCGCACGTGGTTGGTGGCCCACGCTCCACAGGCGAGAATCCCACCGAGCCATCAATGGGATCGGGTGCGGCTGTGGATGCGGATGCAGGAACGGCGAGTCGGGCTTTTCGCTTTGCTTTTGGAGAACGCCCGGACCGTTCTCTGGAAGGCCTTCAGTCAACGAGGGACACGGAAGATGTGGAGATGATAGATGTGGAGATGATGGATGCTACGACTGGGATAGGCAGTGCAGCAACCTCCTCTGCTGCAACCTCCTCCACGAGCCCCTTGACGACGGAGCAGCACCGCATGCTCCTGGCGAGTACAATCCTGGCGAATCATCTCATAGAGCCGATTGAAGTTCTAGATTCGGAGGAAGAGGAAGCGGAAGACATGCTCAATCAGATGGATTAGTAACTTTTGGCTGTTGACGTAGAGTTGTTAGCCTCCCAAGGGATCACCGAAGGTGGTGAAGCCGTCACAGAACGGCCGGATATGCTGCAAGGACAGCATGTTTGTCCCAGCCCTCGTCGAGCACATGGATTGTGCGACGGTTGGAATGCAATACTACTACTACTACTACTACTACTACCACTATACTACTACTACTACTATACTACTACTATACTACTACTACTACTACTACTACTACTACTCCTCTCATTTTTAGCCAGTTAGATCTTTTTGCATGCACTGCTGCTCACGAGCACGGTGTAGCGTTCCTTGAGAACGCCGGCATAAGCCCGCGCCTCTCGCTAGGTGGAGGACATCCCACTGCGTGCGGAATGAATACTACTACTACTACTACTACTACTCCTGCTACTACTACTACTACTACTACTACACTACCACTACCATGACCACCACTACTATTATTTATGGACACAAAGCTGTAATCATTGTAAAGAAGGGTGCTGACTTTTTGAGTGTCGGCAGTTGATGAGGTTTTCAATTCCACTATAGCTACGTTTGTACAGGCAGTGGTGCTTAAGAATGCCAACGGCGGTTCGATGCTAATGAGTTTGAATTGGAAATCCTACTGTCCCTGGCAGAATGACGAAAGCGATGGCAGCGATAAATCCACCACTACTAGCAAAAATGCTGGTGATTCCATGATGCTTCGGAGTGTGCGGATGAAGGGTTCGTGTGAAAAACACTTCAGGGTTCATGGACGGAGTTGACACTCCGGAGGATGGATTAGACCCTGCAGTGTGGATGAGGGTTTGGCAATGGAGTTTGCTGCTAATCTACGGAACTGGACCCTGCACAAGATGTTTAACCTTCATGCAGTACCGCTGCTTGGTGCAAGAACGATCTTCAAGACACACGTCTTCGATGCTTCGACAATTCGACGCGACCAAACTCGGAGATGCTTTGGAAGTTGGATGCGACGAAGCTGTAGCCGGTGGGGCTTTGTTGTCTTCGGCAATAGCCTCAAGATTACAGAGCTTCCTCCAAACCGAAGCTTCGGATCTACGTCGATTAGCCAAAACTCCCAACCATAAATCTAAACTTAGACTTCTGAACCCTCCAGGCGCTGACATTCTTCATGGCGTTCACCACACGCGTCTCTACTCTTGGCTCGCCTCCCGCCGTGCTCGACATGTGTCGGTCGACTCGACGAAGCTTCGACCACGAGGAACCATCAGGGTAACCCCGGACACATAAACGGAACCCATGGAAGGTCGAGCATTAAGCGGCATCGTAGTTTGCACGCTTCGTGAATCTTGTGCATCATTCGTGGCCTCTTTCATAGCATCCAGATCTTGATTGTGAACTTGCTGCTCGCCGTTATCCTGGGCATGTCGAACAATCGGCAGCGCATACCCGGGCTTGCCAGCCTCGAGGTGCCCACAATGCTAGAGTCCTTGGCCTGGCGGACAAGACAGCATTATACACGCAAGAGAGCCCCTGCCCCAGCCTGTCCAGCTCGGACAGCCGGCACTGCTGTCGCAAGTGGGACAATCGGCATCTGCGAGAATCGACTGTACCATTGCGTAAGGCCGTCAGTTGTGTCAACCAATCTGCTAGATCACATTGGCCTCGTCGACGGCCTCCACGGCCTCTGCAAGAAACCAGTGGAAGTCTTCGATGCGGTATTCATGGTCCAATACTTGTTCATATCGGTGTAGGATAATATATAAAACTATATATATATATATGTATGTATGTATGTATGTATGTATGTATTTATGTATGTATGTATGTATAGTGAAAGGTGACAATGGCCAAACTTCCAAAACGTTGTCTTCCATCATCGAGTCCTCTGTGAAAACTCGTCGTTTCCCCGCCGTTAATCCATGGCCCATACAAGGCACCCCTGCGGTCTCACAGCGGTCAGCTAGGGAATTGTGCAAGGCAGCACGAACTTACCTAGCAGGCTTCAAGCTTCGGTTGCATTGTCAACAGAGCACACTCTCACAGCTGTCATACCTTCGAAAAAATGCGTTTGAGGTCCATGCAAACAGGTCTATGTCTATTTCTGGTTTTGATACAGTGATGCTGTCGGTGCCCAAGCACCGGATTCCTCCGATTCCTAAGTCTGACAGCAATTCGCATGTTGGAATGCGATATGCCACCTGCTGCCGCTCATCTTCCCAGGTCTTTGCTCGATCCTGATCTGGGTCCAGAAGAAACGCAGCTCCTGATCAGCACTGTGACACTGTGACAATCGCGCCAAAGCCGCAGGCCGCTCCTAGCACAGCGGAGAGCCACTTGGCTACGCAGGTCCACTTGGCTTGTGCACGTTGCACTTCCTGTCAAAACATGACACCAGCATTCAATCATCTAACTGCGGATTCATGGTGACGTGCAGTCGAAAGCACCATGCGTGCTAAATCGCCTCCTTTGCCAGTCTACGAATGGACTCATCGATCTCCTGCCGCAGCAACAGCAGTTGTTGCGTCGACATATCTCAAGCCCCGTCACCAGTCACATGTAAAACAAAGCATCCTAGCTGTCCCAGTGGTGAAGCACACCCGGGCTGCTTGTTGCGCGCTTGTGTTTACTTTTATGCCGACATGCAGCAATGCTAGCATGCCTCTTCGTCGAGCTCGTCCAGCGCTACATGCATGCCTGCAGACTCATATGCAAAAACGGCTGGTAATCGCGGAGGCACACCTGATCTTCAGAGTTTGGCCCTTATGCCGTTGCACAAAGGTTTTCTGCGACCGTCGTAGGGAAGAGGCGCCTCTCGATATTCTTGCTACTATCACCGCTTGATGGTTGCGCCAGGTACAGGACTTACAAGATCTGTGTGGGAAGGAACAGAGCCGATGACGGTGGTGACCGGTGGTGGGGGCTGCAACTTGGGCAGCAAGCCGAAGCCGGAATGGCATGGAATGGCCACCGGCCAGGACTTGTGCTAAGGAACTTATATATCCCGCAGCGAGTGAGCCTTTCACGCCTGTGTCTCAGTTTCTTGGTCGACCGGTAGTGGTGCTTCCCGCGGCTGCGTGTGGATGTTGGGCTGTGGGCATATAGCATTGTAGCACTGTTGTTGCCGTCCTCTGCTGGCATGAGGCTTGGAATGAAAACATGCTGTTCTTGCGAGAAGAGTGTACAGGACACTTCATATACACTTCATGCTCAAACCATCCTAATATCCAGTCACCGCTGAAACCGTAAACTGTAGGCAGTACTGCGCTGAAGATGCAGCTGAAAAGCACAATCATGCGGTCAGGCCCTTCAGTCTCAGGAGAGTTCTACAGCAGCTAGCTCTGCGCTCCCACCTGCGTTGGAAGCCTCTGGACCACCTGTCACAAGCTGACCGGTCTTGAATGGAGTTGGGTTGACGCTCACCGACATGGCCTGGCAACTAGGGCCAAGACCGCACAGTGTCAAGAAATAAACCCTCGATCGTATTCGGCGTGGCTTCTTGTGAGTAAATCGTAGCCCGAAGGCTGTGCAAAAATGTTGCACCTCTTTGCTTTAAGCTCAAGGCTTGACGGTGGTTTGGGCACCACCAGCGCCTGCAGTCTCACTCCTGGCACTGGGCAGAGTCAATGATCGATACGTCGAAAAGTAGCTTCAAGAAGTTTGTAAGGGGCCATGCCTTTGGAGGTTCTTTCCTGCAGCACCTGTCAGATCTGTTGGCAGTTGGGAAAGTAATCAGCGAGAAGGTTGCATCAAAGAGCCGAACGAAACCAGGTGTTTCTGTCGCCTTCATTCCAGCAGACTCAATGACTGCTGTCGTGGAAAGCCTCTTCTTGACCTTGGCCTGCTGCACTGCAGAAAAGTCTCGACATCGCCTTCGTGGTCTCATGTGACGTGCCTTGTTTGGCGAAGGCTTTCGCTTGGAACGGTCGGCCTCCGAGCGCGTTGGCACGGCAGGAACATCTTGCCCCCGACTTAGTCTTTCAACCATTGCGCAGAAAATTGCCACATGGCGTGAATTTGCACACCTGAGAGAAATTGGAAAGCAGTTCAATCCGCTAGCGCATTAGGGGTCCAGACATGCTCAGAAGCTTTGGAGTGGGGTCTCGACGAAAAAGGAGCTCAACTGGCTCCAAAAAGGCAAATTCGCAACTGGCCTTCTTGCTCTGCTCTGGCTCCGTAGGCTTAGTGCTGCAAAATTGCAGGAACTCCTGGATACGAATTGAACCTTGGATCTCATCTCATGGCAATGTGTACCTTCAGTACATTTCTCTGCATTCTAGGCTCCGTCGTTTGACTCATCCTCAGCCGACGTCATGAGAAGCTCATGCAGATCAGTTCATGAACACGAGTTCGACGAGCTCTAGATAGCTCGAGCAGACGAGACTCCACAGTCAAGAACATTTCTCGCTCATCAAGTCCGCTGATCAGAGCCAAGTCAAGGCCCACAAGGCTCATGGCCATCCTAAGCCAGGAAAACAGAGGAACACACTGTGACTTTCAGACTCTCAGATCTCCGGCTGTCCAACCCGAGCTGCTGACGCGAACTCCATAGTCGTCATGATCCCAGTACGGTTTACGTCAAGCACCTTCTGCGCCTCTCAGAAGCAGGAAAAGGCCAGCTTCCGAGCTTTCTGAGGCTAGTACCTGCCTTGCCTGCTCCAAACCTCCGAAGAGGAAGTCGAAAGACTTGCATAAGGCATCGAAGCCTTGTGCGCACTTCTGCTCTTCCTCAGCTTCGGGACTTTACGGAGCAAGGAGTTCTAGTGATCTAGTGCAGCTTGCTGTCACGATCAGTTACGGCTACTATTCCTGCTGCTAGCAACAGCATAGATTTCGTTTTCGCTGTTGTTCTTGTGGTTGTTTCTGCAGCTATGAAGCCATGTTGGGTTTGACCTCTATAGCTGCCACAGCGATATACTCGTTGTTGATCTTTCCCCTCTCCAATCTTCAGGTACCACAGACAAGGCGCCAAGAATGCGTACAGGTTTCCAATGACCTTGCCATCTCAACGAGAGGCACTGACATTGTCTGTGTCTTAGATAGCACCTGCAAGGACTCAATCTGTCCTCGTCTGGCGTCCGTTTCCTGCAACTCCTCAGGATCGCCATCAGCACGACAGGTGCTTAGCATTTTGTGCTATGTCTCACAATGCCAAACCTGCCATGGACAAGCTTACAAGCATGTAAGCGGCCATTTAAGCCCGGGCTATGTTGATGCACTCCACGTGATGAGAAAGCCGTGTGGCTTGCTGCAAGCACCGCGCTGCTGCCTGCCCATTGAGCTGTCCGGGATGTCAACCCGTTGGATCACTGACTGTTTGCGTAAAGCAGCTTCAGCAAAACTGTGCCGAGCCTTCAGCTGCTGCCACCTCGGCGGGCTTGGTTCCGACAAGGATGTGATCTCGCCGTCGGCAACTGCCTGTGTCTTATGCGGCCAGGGGCAGGATGTGCACATCAATACAGCTCGGTTGGGCAACTGGAGTCCAGACAAGGAGAGTGCCGACTACGGCAACGGTGCGAGAACCCAGTATCGGCATTTCTCGTAATCAATTTCCATAACTCGCAGACTCACCGTGCATGATCTCCGAAGACACCGATCACACGTCTTCTGAGGTGCAAGAAGCTGTGTAACATGACAATCAAGTTGCACAAGCGCCGCCTTCACCATAAGAGGCAGGTCAAGGCGAAACAGCAAGCGCACATCAGCTTCCTGCCACTATGATTCTTGGAAGAGACCGTGCTCTCTTATCTGCAAGCTACGGCTACACGGTGTTTCCCCCCGCAACGGAGTGCTTCAGGAATCTTTGCATCCTCGAATCACGAACGCATCAACTGTGAACCCATGTTTATCCAACAAGAGACGGAAAACCGATCCATGCTGTGTTGGCAATGTGTTGCACGAACGAAGCAATTCATGAGTGCCCATCGAAGTTGGAATCTGTGGTGTGCCGCAGCAAGGCATTGCTTCCGCTTTTCCACACGACACCTTGGAAGCAGAAAGGCCGCGAACCGCGAAGCGGGAAACCGAACCCTGCAATAACCGTGCCGGCAACAGAACCGCCAAACGATTCCAAATTGCACAGTTGCAAAACCCTTGCATGATTCTTAAAATTCATCAGAGCGAGTATGGCATCACACGGGGCACCTTTTCTAACGCAGAAAGGGCAGGCACCGAAAACGTACCAATTCTAGGCAGGTCGAGGCCATCGGGGCGTCAAGTGTCGGCTTCAGGTTTCGGGTTTAAGTTTGTGTTTCATCAAGAACCCAATAAGGAACCGTGCGAACCACCGAACCGAAGCGTACAAACCGAATCGTGTTGGTTCGTGGCAAACCGAACAGAATGGAACCGTGGCAACCCCGTTGAAGTCGCTCGGTGCTCTGGCTCTGCGAGTTCGAGCCGTGGCGTGGGCAGCGCAGACCATGTCGGAACCGCCTCATGGAAACATGACAGATTCGGCAAGAAGCCCTCGGTCGCACCCGGATCCGGGCTGTCAGTCCTGATATGCCTCGACAGACCCACGAAAATGCTGGATGCCTGAAGCGCATGTGCTGCTGGCCTTTGCGACCCCAACTTTTGTTTTGCGATCTTCGTTTGTGCTGTTGCTGGTATCTCACGCTCTGACCTTCCCTCCGTCACTGGTGGGGGCTAAGCCCGGCAAGCCCTCGCAAGTATGTGTCGACTTTCTATTGGCTGTACATTGCCTTGGCTGATAGGGTAAGAATTGCAGGCACATTTGCCAATATCAGTCGACCGCCCCTTCCTGTGGTGCCGTGAGTCTCTCTGGATTTGAGCAACTTCCGATCACAGCCGTCTCTCGCTGAGCGCAGCCCTGGCACCTGGTCACGCTTGTGCCAACTGAAACCTCAGGACCACTTTGTTTGACTCGCAGGGCCAACTTCTGACGACGATTGAGGCCGTAGATCGCTGACCCATCATCCGTGCACGAGCAGCAGCTCAGCAGCATCAGAGCCGGCGAATAATCAGTGCGGTGGCCAAGACAATGAAACTCCGTGGCTCGACGTGGTAAACCCGTCCATACAAGTCGAGCAGGATCAAGTAGCTTTCTAACATAGTATGATGCTGCAGAAACTACAAGCTCGGAGCTCGCGGCTCGAGTCCAACCTCCAACGACCTGGGGAACGATTAATTAATCGGAATCTTCGATCCAGTCTGTTTTCCGTTTCTGATGTCGTTACATGTCACCGTTTAGCGGGTCCTGCATTGCCCTTTGCAGGGCATTTTGCCACTGCGTGCGTGGGGTGGCCGTCTCATCTGCCTGGCACTGAGAGCCATCTCTGTCAGAGGCACTGTGCTGCTGACTACTCCAAATGAGCTGCATGAAATTGCCGTGATGGCAACAGGCTTTCGCACCATGCCTGGACGGGGTCAATCGAAGCGTCCGGGCGCACGTCGTGACCAGGGTCTGGCAGGCTTCCCTAAAGTCTTACCCGAAACAGAACGTGACCCCGTGTATTGCCCGTGCAGGTTACAGATCGGCGGTACACGGGGTCATAACAGAAACGTTTCACACACACACACACACGCACACGTGCAGGCCGACATTCAAACCGTTTGCCTTTTTTTTCCGATGTTCTCTGGCTGCTGACTGACTGAACCTGACTTGCGGGTATCCACCTGCATTCAGACTACGATTCGCACCCTGCTTTCTCTTGAGTATCCAGACCTTGGCTCTTCTGTCATTTGTCGCAATGAGCCGAATTTGAAGCGACTTTGGAACTGAAGCTTCGAGGCATTTCGAGCCTGTGCTTCCCCGCCCTTGGTCGGGACCCTGCTCTTTGCCCGCATTTTCATCTGGCAAGCCTGGCATCGATCCAGGAGGGCTCTCTCAGGTCGACAGCTCCCAGCCTGAGTCCTCTGGGTGGGCCAGCTCAAGCTCCAAGGTGCTGCTGCTTCCAGAGGAAGAGAGACGACACCTCCACAGAGTCAATCTCGCTTCGTCTCCCTTCAAGTCCAGCCGCCTTGAGTTCGCATGGGCGAGCTTTGGCGAAAGCCTGGCAGCGCGGGCATGAGAACAAATTCGTTACGTCGACTCAGCTTCAGCCAGGTCTCTGTGATAGTCCTGGCAGAATTCCCGATTCGCCTCTGCCTGAGAGTCTTAGAGAGCGGAGAGAGGTGAGGCTTGGCGCTACGTCTCTGCGTGCAAGGGACGCAAAGATGGCTCCGACGACGACTTGTACATGTCCCAGCTGTCTCCGGAAGCCCGTTGCAGCTGTTTCCTCCCCAAAAGAGTGAGTCGAAATAGTATTTAAATCTCTGTGAGTGCAAGCGGCGATCCTGTGCCACCCCTTCCTTCCACCTGTTCCCATCGCAGAAGCAGCCGGCGAGCCATGTAGCATCCTGCATGTAGCTCTGAACGATCACATCCCGAATGCTTTCGACTAGCTACTAGTCGCCTGCGCCGCCATGCCAGGCCAGTGCCAGCGGGCTCGATGTCAAGCGAGATGTTGGTAACGTGTGCCATCTCAGCAAGGGTCCATGTGGAAAACCACTAGATTCATTAGATGCTCCTCAAGCCTTTGTTTTGCAGGGGTACTGGTCAATCTTTGAACGTAGCTGTGGTCGTGTGGTCCTGCTCGGCTCATGTCCGTCCCTCTCCCAGCCATCTTTGAAGGCTACTTTCTATTATCTGGTCCGGCATGATGAAGTCTAAGCTTGTCCTCCGATCCAGCACGTCCTTGTCACTAGGAGGAAGCCGGAATTCCGACGCACCATGGACCACACTGATCGGAATAAGTGAGAACAAGCGCATGTGGCCCCGCTCAGTTGGTGCGCGTTGCGCACTGCTACTTGCACTGACATATACATGTTCTGGGACTGGAGGTTTTGGCTCTGAAGGCATTGTGTCACTTCCATCGGAAAGCCAAGGCCCTGTCCAACGAAGCAGCGGCGTTTCCGAAGGGGACGGCATGTCTTGTACAGGGCGCAAGAAGGGACGTCTCTAAGCAACGCCGATGAGAAAACAGGAAGCTTCGCTTAGTTTCTCGGATGTCTTCGAAATGCCTGACGAAACTGATGCTTCCGTAAGAGCAGGTTAGCTTTCGCTCCATGCAAGAAGCGGCTTCGTTCAGGCCTGCTAGCGATTGTTTTGGATATTTGGGCTGAGACCAGCGACTGTTGTTGAATTTGCGTATCCGTAGCTAGCCACGTGCAAAACTTCTCTGAGCATTTATAGGGACGTGCGGTGCTACTGCCTTGGAGCTCGCCGAAGCCTTTTGACACGGGACACAGTCACTCTTCAGGTTGGCCATTGCAGCTATGGGCATCCTCCGAGCGTATCCGAGCGTCAGCGTAGGATCCTGGAAGGACTTTCCGTCGTTGCTGAGCTCACGTCTTGTTTTCTTCAGCTCTCGTTCTTGATGCATGAGGAGCCTAGTCTCGTTCGCTTGGCAGCTTCGTGTCTGGCTCCTGCGACAATTGTTTCACATTGCAAGATCTTCTGAGCACTTGTTGCTTGACCAGGAACCGAAACGGTTTTTGAAGCCTCTCAGCCAGGGCTTTCTAAAATCTGCGCATGCTTGTATGAGAAGTGCCAAATTCAATCCAAGCTCGTAGCTCTGCCAATAGAGCAACCAACTAGGCTAGTGATGCGGGGTCGTGGCCACAGCCGCAGCGGCTTCCAGATTCCAGAATACCTCTTGAAGCTAGATGATGAAATAGCTAGATCGTGATGTAAGTAGCATTAGATTTGCGACTTGTCCAGAGATCGTGGCGAACATTGGGGCAGAAGCAGTCTAACAAGGCAATTGCCGGCTCTTTCGACTGCTGCCCCGCGAGCATCTTGTTGAGTTTGTGCAGCGCGCCAGTGCGCGAGCGTGCGCGGACATGCGCAAGCTACACAGTAGCTACACAAAGGGTCTTCCCAGCGACCTACGCCGCTGCACGGCGATGTTCTGCAGCAGTCTTAGCGGCTTGATGGGACCGCGCTAGAAGCACGTGAAACGATCAGCCGAATGCTGTCAACACCTCGTTCAAGTCGCTTTCACAGCCTCTAGGGCTTCTGCGACTTGCAACTGTGCGTTGCCGTACATTGCCAGCAAGTTGAGATCAACATTGGCTCCGCCTGCAGATGAGTTCCATGTGATAAGACACCAAGCTGTCAATGCAGCTTTTTTCCCAACAAACGATGGTTTCTCACCTGAGCTGAAGCACAGCTGGAATGCTTGGCTGAAAGCTGAGCATCATGAAATTCTGACCCCAGTCGCGTGGAAACAACAGAAGCCTGGCAACTCCAGGATCTGCGGTGAAGCACGGTGACTGGTCGAACATGCAAAAAGGATGTACGCTGGATTCGTTTGAGGTTTTCGCAGTTGGCCCTTCGCTACTTGATAACCTTGATTCTAGCATGTTATGCCATGCCGTCCATGTTGACAACAGCATCGAGGTTTTCAATGGAAGCGTGACCAGACTGCGCGTCGTGATCGACCAGCGAGCAGAATCGCTCAAGCACTATGCCAGCGGAGCGATGGAAAATGAATACTGTCCCAGAAAGACCTGGACTGTGCTATCGAGCAAGCAGGTGTGCAACCCTACAAAAGTGGGTTTTCATCGGAAACCGGCCTCACACCTTTGAGCTCGTATGCAGAAAACCCAGGTCGGAAAATCCGTGTCATGAGCTTCCCCTTCGGGAGCCTTTTGCCGATGCGCCGAATCAGCCCACGGACCACATCTAACAGCAACTCATGTCTCCGACATTAGCAAACACGGCTGCAACTATGCTTCAGCTGCTGTTTCAGCACGGAATCGGCTTTCGATCTCTAACTATGGGATGGGACAAGCTTCCTGTGGCCGTATATGCAACGCAATACCAAGGCAATGTATATATATATATACATATATATATATATTTTTTTTATACACACATAAATACATACTGTCAAAATCATAAAGTGAATGTGTTGAACTTGGACTGGGCGATGAGCAATCAGGCCAGAGCAATGTCCCGCAGCAAAATGTTGGTATGATTTGACTTCTTTGTTGCTAAAAGCAAGATGTCGTTGAAGCTTCGCCATCCCCACCTGCACGAAAGAGCATCTGACGCATCCCTCATAAACATTCATAGGTCACAAGGATGATGCCAATGCAAAGGGCAAGAATGGCTTTCAAGTGTCCGAAACGGTGCAAGCTGAGAGGTGCTCCGTAATTCACATCAACGCAGCATCAAAGCATCGACCTCGCAGACACTTGCATGGCTCTGGTGGGCATCTACTGTGCCTGCAACCACACCAGGTTAGGCCATGACAATCTGACGGTGGGGCATCTGTTTGCTGGCTGCGACGCAGATGTTGCACCCACCTGCCAAGATGCAGGCCTCTGAATCCTGCAATTCCCCTGACTGAGCCGTTGGACACGACATCTATTTTACCTCCGAACGAAGGTTCTTGCACCTAGATTGAGACTGCAGCACGTGCAGCAGAATTCCGGAATCCTCCTCCGCCAGGAACTTAGCGTGCCGGCGGTGCCCAATCATGTCTGTCAGTTTTGTAGCTGTTGTGATAATCTGCCTTGGCATGGGGTGCAACCTGCCGCTGCTTCATGCTTCACTCCATTACTGGCGCTGTCTAAGTGACTAGGGCTTAGCTGAGCTGTGCACATAAGCATAGGTATGGGAAGTGCAACAGACATGGTGGGAGCGGACACTCCTGTTTTCTAACCAGCTACGCCAGCAGGTTTTTGATTTCGTGCTTGTACCACCTATTGATCGAATTATTTTGAAGGAAACAACGGGAACTTGTACTTACAGGATGCTTCCACTGCCGCCGCAGCCAACCAATCCGATCTTGCAGATAAACGAACAACGGCCCACACCGTTGCAACTGCTGAAGGATGGGAACGATCCGAAGCTTCAAAGAAAAAATTCCGTCCTCCACCGCTTCCAGTCGGAACTGACTCCACCGGGCGGGATGGGTGGGCCGTAAAAAGCTACATGAGTACGGCGTTGCTTGCAAGCGTGCCTCACAACATACAACCCGCTACGAGCCAATCTACCTGGATTGTCTCTACACATGTTTCCCTGCTGGGAGCGGACACCCCTGTTTTCTAGCTTGTCACGCCAGCGTGTTCTTGATTTCGTGCTTGTAGCACCTTCGGATCGAATTGATCTTGAAGAGGAAACAACAGAACCTGTACTTAAAAGATGCTTCCACTGCCGCCGCAGCCAACCAATTCGATCTTGCAGATAAGCAAAACGGCCCACACCTTTGCAACTGCTAAAGGATGGGATCTATCCGAAGCATCAAAAGAAAACACAAATCTCCGCTTCGTAAGTATATACGAGTTGTAGACGTGCTTGACCATCGTCCATGCAGGAGGGGTTTCTCCATGCTGCCGTGGAACAGGAAGTTCTAGGTCGCGCCCCCCGCGACCCAAACTGTAAACAGTAAGAAGTCCCTGAACTTGGAGCGTTGCAATGAGCTCGTAAAACAACTTTCGAAAGAAACGTTCTCCAAGAAACGGCAGCTTGTTTGTTGGACGCAGCTCACGGGAGGCGTTGCGCAGCCAAAACACTACACATTCGGACTCTACCACAACCATTCCGTTGGCTCCTGTTCGTTTTCCAGACTTGCTCTTGCCCAGGCAAGGCACAACTCGGTAATATCTTTACTATACAGCTCGCCAGAACGCAGCATGCAATCAAAGCCGAATCAAAGCCGACCAGAAAAGCCGCAGTTTTTGAGAGAGTGTCCATGCGCCATGCGTATTACTGCACTTGCAAAAGCACCGGAATCGGCAGGACTCGCAATGGTGGTTCAAGGCGATGCCAGACCGTGGCTAATCGCCAAGCCTGTTTTAACTTGCCAACACAAGCTGGCAAGAAAAACTGTAACTGTAATGCTGCCAAAGCTTTCACCAGTGATTCATGTTCACCTTCAGCATATGCCGCTTCCACCCAGCAGCAAACGGATTCATCAAAATTGATCAAAATTGTCCCCTGTCAGGCTCCCACTGCACATGTCCGCAAGGAGCAGCAGAACGTGAAAATCTGCTTTTGCATGACAACCTTGTATCTTTTCAGAAACCATTTGCCCTTGTGGATCTTCTTTCTTTCGCCTTGATGAATGCTCGTGAGCTACCGCCCCATCTTGACGGAATATCTGAAGGGCTCGAACCAGTAAAAAAATAACCAACTGCCAAAACCAAACCGCTAGCCAACACCAGCGAGTTCAATTTCTATAACCCTCTTTTCAGATTACTACTGCGTCCTTTGGAGATAATGGAGCACACCACTTGATTGTCGAATAGATGAAAAACACGGCACCGTCCATTGCCGGTTGTTCTCAACCTCCACTGGACCCCATTGATCACAGCTTGCAGCTCAAGAACGTTGATATGTGCTGAATGTGTCCACACACAACCATGAACCACTGACCAATGGAAAAGTGAAGACTTGATCCCCACTCGAGGCCATGTGCGAGCCCGGAAGGGCACCCCCACATCTAGCCTCATGTCAGAACCACCTCTCTCTGCCCGTCGACAGAAATGCGTAACCAGATCTTGTGCCTCTGGTGTGTTGGCTGTCTCTTCAACGAAGAGATGATGTAAAAACCACAAACGTGGAGCTTCCGACATAGGTTTGACGAGTTTGTGACGCTCTCGCTTTCCAGTCCCACGAACAAACTCCAGAAGTGAATGGCGCAGCATGACCAAGACGTGGACACATAAGGTCTTTCTCAACATGCAGCCTCCCACAGTAAACCTCACCTGAGGGCTCATTTTGTGTGGTAGTGTTCCCTCAACGTATCCTCGGCCAAAGCCCATAAGAACCTCTCTTTCTGATAACGAAGGCAACGTCAGAGATCCTCATGATTCACGACCATACAGTCTGCCTCGTAGTTTAACACCGGTAGCCGGTATTCATCGGCCTGCCAACGTTGGACTGCAGAAGTCGATGCCTCCGTAAGTCCTGTCGCCTTGGAAGGAGGTTTGGCGCGGGTTGTGGTTGTGTGATTGAAGGCGACCACCCATCAGCAGCCCCATTCCATTGGCAATTTCGGTTCCATCCAACCCTCAGCCTCATCCCGACACAGTGGAAAACACCAGACCTTATATCCCCCATGGTATTCCATCTCTTCACCTGGTTGGGTCAGAGGCACCCAGGAACACCAAAACCAACGATGACGACGACACCACGTAAACCACTTTGCGTCAATGAGGATAGGCCCAACTTGCAAAGCTGCACTGAACCAATCGCGGTCTGCATCACTATCACGTTTTCAACCAGGTAGTGTACCGGGACCAGAAAACAGGATTTCAAAATAACTCGTAGCAACTCATCACACAACCAGCCTTCATGTGACTCATTGCTTCCTCGTTTTGCTTGAACAAGGACAACTCGCCCCCACCACCACAAGGTCAATGTGGCCACCAACTGATCGTTGCAGAAACTCAATAACTTTGTTCAATGTTTGAAATTTGACCTAACTCAATGACCCCTGGCCAACGCCTGCGGATCAGCCGTTTTCTTTCCTGGTCCACTTCACAACTGGCGTAACCGACAACTTGACCGGGTAGTCGGCTTAAGGCAACCATTAACGCGCCTATGTCACCGAAGATGGACACCGCTAGCACACGTGGCCCTTCACCACCACTAGCTCCCACTGCCTGTGCCGGCTGAAACTGTTGAGCATCTCCTCTGTTTTAGCCGGTTGAGCATGTCCAAACCTTCGGCAGTATGTCCCGCGGATGCACGTAAGCCGCCACCCTCTGTAACAGCATCAGAGCATGTAACCAAACCTGAAAACGGTATGCGAAGTGATCCAACTGCCCATGAGAGTGCACAAACAAACAGCATGAAGCAGCTCACGTACCGTGCTCTGTTTTTGAGGCTCGGCGCAAACGAAACTGATCACGAGGCCAACACCTGTCCAAAATGGATAACAGTGGGCGACGAAACTCAATGCACCTCACCAGTCCCGACAATGCCATAAGCGATGGTTTCACTCCAGCACAGGATTGACTCAGGAGCCAAACACAAAGCCAAGAAGTTTCAAGAATCTTTTCCGAAGGAGGCCCACTGAATCCCGAAATTCCATCGACCTCGGCCCCCCCATGCACACAACACGAGGTTCACGACCATGCGATTTGTCATCTGAGACCTCCACACCTACATGTTGGCACGTCTTCTTCAGATTCCTTTGCGGTGTAGAAAGGGTCACTTGAATGCGTTTCCAGATCTTTTTGTCGACGTTGTCGACGAACTCGACCCACTCGCTCTCCTCTTTGTGGCCTGCACCACTTGGCGGACTCGCGAGACCAAGCCTCCTGTGCAAATGTTGGAACAGCCCCACAGCAGTTACCCAACCCATAGGGACCACCGCCGCTGCAGTGTACGCTTCTGGCTAATTTGGTAGGCCAACAAGCGAAAACCCAAAAACTTTTTCCATGCCGGCGGTACGGCCCATGCGTAATGGGCCCCTTGTTGATCTTCGGCAGACCATAGCAGCACCTGATTCGGATGAAGATGGGCCCCCACCCACGCGGACGTGCTTGATAAGGTGGCTAAATCTCCTGGCATCAACCGTTGCAAAGCGTTGCTCGGGATCATGTTCATGATAAGTCGGGGTGGCTCTGGTCTCGCCTTGTGCTGGAAGGCCCTTCTTCCGTACAGCGAAAGCGCCATTGAGCAAAAGGGCCCCATCGACCAGAAAAATCTCAGATTTGGGAAAGGATGTTTTTGTGCACCAATAACGGCACGAGTTCCAACCAATCCTTCCGGCTGCAATTCATGTGCCAGCGACACAGCAGCTCACCTACCTTCAAAGGAAGTGTGTGAAGTATCTCGTCCCCCGTCTAATCAACACCTTGTGTCCTAAGAACAGTCTCAGGAAAGAGACCAACCGATCACTAAGGGGATCCCGAGTAAAATAACCGCATGGTCCATCCAAGTGCTCAAAGGCTTCGGCTTGACACGAGTTACCAGGATACTCGCGATAAAAGCTCGAGCCGCTCCAGTCCAGGTACTCCCCATTCATCATGGCAACCATGAGCAATCTCCAAATCTGGAAACAACTGGCCTTCACCAGCTTCTGAAGCTGTTGCTTGCCCATATGAGTTAAGCACCCAGGGTCCCGCGCCAGAAGTACGGTGTTGTCCGAGTCGGATGCCTGCACAAACGCATTACCTCACCTAAGGGAGGGAGAGGTAAGGGCAATAGATCCCGATCCCGCAGAGTTGGCGTGGCTGCATTTTCACCAGAGCTAACACTCCCGACACGAAAGTTCCATCTCGTGGAGAAACCAAGAGGAGCTGTAGCAGCGTAATGCCCAATTGCAACAGACAGCGGTTTTCAGGGATACCCTCACGCACAAAGCCACGCGGTTTTCAGGGATACCCTCACGCACAAAGCCACAGAACCTTTGATTTGACTTTTCATCACACCCCTCAAGCATCACGTTCCTCAGTTCGCCAAATATGCAAGTCCCATAGCCTAAACCCTGTCCTTCCAAGCTTTCTTCGTTTCGCCGGCGATGCTCGGCGTTTGCTTTCGGGCCTGCGACACTGACATGATCATCTTCCGCGGGACCTTCTCGATCTCGGCGCTCTCCCGGAAAGTCACCTTCCGCCCCTCCTTGGGCTTCGTAGGGCTCGATTTTCTCCGCACAAGTTTGATGGCAATCCCCTCCTGCGGAGGCTCCTCCTTTGGCTGCTGATGGTACAAAGGGTCGCGCTAAGAGAGGCCCGTCGAATTAAGTCCCTAGCACAGCAGCTTGTCCGCCTTCGCCGTCTTATGCGCAAGCTCCCGGGCAAAGTAAGTAAGTCTCCTCGGGGGATACGACGACCATGTCCCATGGAACCAACTCCAAGAATCGCGCAAACTTCTCAAAGTTGTCCCTCAATGACATAACCTGGCATTTGAATCTCTGAATCAAGATATTCCCAGCAGCATCAACTTTCCCCTTCAGCAGAGCATCCAAAGCCTGACAATAAGTTCTCAACTCCCTGTACTTGCTTTCGTCGATGGCCTTCACAGGGTGAGCCAGCAAGACCATGGTCAAGAAATAGCGAACCATAGTCGGGCTCATTGCATCCAGGGTGTCATCACCTGCGGCCTGTCCCAGCTTCTCCTGCATGGACTGGAAACCTGCAGGTAGGAGCTTGCCCGGCTTCTCCTCCGCGATCTTCCGGAGCTTGTGTTTTTTCTGCTCCACGCACCAATGCCCGTTGAATAGAGCGAGCCACCGAGTCCCCGGTCCGTGCCTTCTTCGGCTTGACCTTTTCAGCTGCCTCCACGGCCCGTCCGCCAACACCGACTCCGGCCCTTTTGCTGGTGTCCTCAGCCTCTCCGGTGGAGTCCCCCAAGCAATCCTCCAACATAACATCAAAAGCCGTGTGCTCTTTTCTCGAAGCCTTCTCGCACTTCTTCTTGACCGGTCGCAGCTCCTCTGCTTCGGCCTTCTCTTCATCATCTTCTACCTCAGCATCTTCGTCCTTTGGTGCAGGAAGAACCTGGGTTGCTTCCTGCCGGGCACCTCGGCGATCTCGGCCTGATGTCATGCGCTCAGGTGGAAGCTTGGACAAACCCCAGGACTCAGCAAGTCACTCGCCCCAGCTCTTGAAATCGAGGCCCACTTCTGGATATGAACGACATCATTCATCTTGATGTTGTGGTGGCATCTTGAAACACGTCGGCGGCATAAATGGTGGTAGGCTTTCGCAGGCAACTCTCCTGCTTTGCCGTCATTATCAGTAAACCACTGATAGTAGGAGCTGTCCGTGCCACAATACTTCAAGTCGATGAACATGCCGTCAGTGTTCACTTCGTGCTTGGCAGTAACTTCCCCTACAGCCAGCCCAAGCCTCTCAAACCGATCGCCAAGCACCTGGAACACAATGAAATCGAAATCTGATCCAGACGCCGCCCCGAAATTTAACTCACCCATGGCCGCCCCGTCTCGCAGCTCGATTCCTGCATCACCCGTGCCCGGACCGCGTCGCCCCTGGCCATCACCACGGGACCTGCGGGACATCAGCCCCTGCCCCAAAGCAGCCTTCAGTGCATCACGAGGTGGACAGGCTCAGGGGACCACACTAAAGATCGTCCTTGATCCATAAAAAGTTACATGAGTACAGCGTTGCTTGCAATCGTGCCTCACAACACGCAACCCGCTACGAGCCAATCTTCCCGGACTGTCTCTACACATTTCCATGCTGAAGAACATCATTTGCATCATGCAGATTCACACTGTCGCGGCTCTTTTGGCTTGTGAGGATTTCCCCACGCTCCTGAAGTTCGACGTTGATGGATTGCCTGGCCTGTGCTTGCTTTACAGCTTTGCTGCAGATGTTGTGCCAGCTAGGTACTGGATCTTAGCATCCGCATGTCGCAGGGACATTTGGTGTTGTGCACGAGACGAATTTACACTTTGAAGAACAAGCACGGGGCTGATCACGGCTGCGCCTTGGGCATCAAGCTACCGAAGAATGCTCGTGTCGACTGCAGTCCACTCCACCTTCCACTCCGAACTTGAAGATATTGGACCATCATGCACGGCTACTTAATAAGCTCACGACGAGGATGTTTCCTGCCTCTGAAATGGGCCGTCATGCAGATCGTCCACCTGGCATGGGTGAGAGCACCGGTGAAACACGATTAACCACCCAGCCAGGCAGGCATCAGCCAGAGGCATCTGGGGTGAACGTCGACCTTCCTCACTGCGTTGAGATGCCGCCTAAGTGTGCCACGGCCTCGAACGGAATCCTTTCACATGTCTCGAACTTGGCCCAGGTCCAGAAACTCGTAGCACATTCTGGCCACGACAAAGTTCGTCCTCCAAAGGCAGTCGTAGAGAAAGACGGGCAAGTTGCGACACTGATCCGGCAGAATGCACTTGGCTTCGCCCTTGCATGCCGCACCTGTCTTGCTGTACATCCATCAACGGATCATGCTGCCTGGCTTTTGCCAAAAAGGCATCCTCCGGGGGCACAGCAGCAATGATTCTTGCAACAGTAATCCTACTTGTCGCAACTAGCCTGTCTGCAAAGAGTATGAAGCAGTCCTATTTGTATCGCAAGTCATGCTCTTGTCAAATTTGAAATCGGGCCAGCCTTAAGCTCTGTGGGAGATGCGCCGCGAGTTGCACCCAGCATTTGATGGCAGTCGATGTCCGGCACCTTCGAGATTCGACTCAGTGACATCTCAGCGACTTCCAGTGTCAAGAAACGTTGGCTTCTTCCATTCGTGCCTTTGGACTCCGAGCATCTTCTGACTGGGATTCTGGACTTGTGCATTGAAGACCGCACACGAGTGCACCTGTGGCATGGTCCGCAAAAATCTCGGCCTCAGCAACAGGTGTCCGATGCTCGGATGATGCTGAGCAGCGACACACCAAGGCCCAAATGCTCTAAGACTCTAAGAACAAGGCGCCTCTGACGCAAGCGGCGCCCACCAAGGCCTCATCCGAAGGAACCCCTTAGATTCGAGGGACGAAGCCGAGTGGGGCGGGGCCTCTGGGTCTCCGCGACCAGTTTGGTGGCCTTGATCCTTCGAGCCTGCGGCGAAGGTCAGTGCTTTGAACCAAAGCGGCCTCTCGAGCCCGGCCGAAAAATGCTGCTCTGCGGCAGTGGACACACCCGTTCCGAATGCGACAGTTCCCCTCGCAGTTGCACGACCCAATGCCCCTTTCATCGGGCTGCAACACGCTACAACTTCCTTCGTGTGTCGCCCAACTCTCCTGCATATGTGGTGCCTGGAGGGCCATAAGCCGGCGCTGGGACTTCATTGCCTGGCACAAGAAAACCGGGCATGTGCCGCACAGTGCGTTGTTTTGCAGGTCGGGACCTGAAGAGCAGTCGGGGCCTCGGACTTGCAGCGCTGCTGCAAAATGCCAGAACATGTTGCGACACACTGCTTGCGAACTCTTGTGAGTCTTTAGGTGGCGACCATCGCAGCCCGTGGTGCAACACAACAGTTCGATGGGGCAGAATGACTTCCGAATGACTTGATCTCGAGGATGCCACGTGGGGCCGTTCATGCACATCAGCAATGTTCACATGTGCATGAAGCTCAGACATGTGAGAGGACGATGCTTTTCACGCAGCCAGCGCAATTAGCCCTTATTTCAACGGTCTGGGATGGTTGGGTACAGCAAAGCTAAGGAAGCTGTGAGGTCAAAGTCCACGAGCTCCCCCTCTCACGCCATCAGGTGACCCCGAGTCACTCGAGCTGGAGCCCGAATCCGTCTCTTCACGTCTAGGTCCTCCGCAAGCTCACATACTGAGGTGAGTCCTGTCTTCGGATTCGAGAGCGCGACGTCCTTGCGTCTGCGGAGGCCCGGAAGATCTCTCGGGCAGGCGCAAGCCAGCTCCTGTGCCTGAGTCTGACTACAGAGTGACAGAGTCTCCGATTATCCCTTGCCCCGAGCCTCAGGCCGAATGACAGACCTAGCCCAAATGGAATGCCCTCGCCTGTCGACATCCCTAAGGGCCGCCTCTGTCCTTGCGCTAAAACTTACAAGGATCTTGAAGGACGTTCGCTTCTTCCTGCAATCCCTCTTTTTGAAAGCCCACTCCTTGCAGACTTCTGCCTGCGGGCTCGGTGCCAGTCCTTTCTGGGCAGAGACAGAACAGAAGCTTCGCGAGACACACCAAGTCCATGGCCGCTTCGGCCGAACTGGAGCTGCCGTTCGCGTGTCTGAGCAATTTGGGATTCTGTGTTTCATGGCCAGGACATGGCCAGTGCAGGCGTGCCTGGACGCTCCCAGTGCGACTTCCACTCTGCCCAGGCCGGTGGCACCGAGGACATGCGCTTCAGCAGAGCGGACCTCGGTAACATGAACGAGAAACTGATCGCTGCTAGTGCTTGCCGAGGCTTCGGCCAGTTAATGCGAGTGATGCTGAGTGCTGCAGATGCCGCAGGCCCTGACAAGCCAAGAGAACGCCGCAGATCGCCTTCGGAAGACCCCAGGCCTCTGCCAGCCGCGATGACCGCGGAAAGTGCCTGAACGCGTGCGAATGTAATCAACGCAACTTCGCCACATGGGAAAAGCTATGGTGCCTGCAGGGCATTGTTGGGAGATATCTTGGGTGCCCAGAAGCCGGGTCCTCCCACTCCGCTTCGAGCAGCCATACCTGGGCTGGCTTGCATTTCGAAACATCTGCTCGACCTACTCTCGACGCCAGGGTTTCCCAGCCAACACCTTCGCACTCCGGTTGAAACTATGTATTTCCGGTGTGATCCAGGACCCCAAACCTGGGAGGATTAGGAATGCCTGGGCAGTGGAAACTGCCAACAGAAGACCAGACATTGAAAGCCATGCTGCCCACATCTGCCCACGGACCCCACTGCACACTGAGTGCAGGCAAACCTGTGCAAGCCAAGAAGACATGAGGCTCCCGAGTCTCTCGAGTGGCCTCTTGCTTGCCGGAACAAGGCGAATGAATCCAGGAATGAATTCGCAGCTGCATAGTTTCCCTGCCTCGCAAAGGCTGTAAGCACGCAGCATGCTCTGTGCAGAATCGTAAAAGGGCAGGCGGACCCTGGTGAGCCCAGCAGCGCAGCAACTGACGAAAAAAGCAGAAAGTGCTCGATGTCTGCCGAGGACAAGGACTCCTGCAGAACCGAACTTGCTAACGACCAGTGATGGCAACAAGCCAAAATCGCACAACTCAGGCTGACACATGCAGATTGATAGCGCCATCCTGCAAAGGGGAACAAGGGCGATCCCACCTCTGCTAAGATCGAGAGGGCGCTCCATTTTGGGCGAAATCACAGTGGCGAGGTGCTCGGACTCCAGGTGGGCGAGTGCGTGGTCCTGACAAGTGAGGAACAAACTTTCACTGCAGGCCAGACACACCCCTACAATCGCAGTGTTCCTGTAGCAAGCCTGCCGCATGCAAGACACCTGCGACAGTTTGGAGGAGTGGTATGACGGCAGCTGATTCTTTGTCATTTTGACGCCATCAGCCACAACGTGTTGCCCTCCTGAAGTGCAATAACATCTTCGAGCCAGCTCCCCGCGAGGCGAGTAATCCCTACAGTCACCACATGTCACTACAGTCAACGACGAACCGCGATGCACTTCAATCCGACCACCAGCCTTTGACCGACACTGCGTCGCAGTCTTTCAGAGCAGCCAGCATCTCATCTACCTGAGGAAGCTACCAGCTCTTGCTATGATACAACCATGATGCATCCTGCCACCGACTGTGGAACAAATAATTTCCTTGAGTGGAGGAGTTAGCAGGTGTCGGCCTCCTTCCGGAGAGAAACGTCACACGGTCGAAGACAGACTCGGAGATCGGGGGCTTGGCACCTTTCTTCGGATTGTTGTCGCCAATGTACAATGTACTGTGCCTCTTGCTCAGAACAAGTCCGAGGTGCAATTCTTCCAGAGCCTGCCTTTGCGTGTCTTCCTGCAGGCTGTCGCTGAGACTTAGACAGCTTCTCGGAAAGCCAATCAAGGCCAAAGAAAATGCATAGGGTGTCCTTACACTGACCAGTGCGGGACAGCAGCGCCAAGTGTGTAACCCCCTGACATGACATAACAAAAAGAAGCACTGCATCGCTATGTGTGTATGTTGCGAGGGCCATATCTTTTCAATCAGGTTTCCTGCTGTCGATTCTTTCTCCAGCCTCTCAATTAGGATCTGTTCACCGGGCGAGCCCGTTTGTGGTTCTCTGTGACGATGACCGCAGGCCGATCCAAGAGCGGGCTCACTGTGAGCGGCTTGCTGGCGCAGCCTCGCGAGCAACTGGGCTCCTAAAAACCGCAGGAATGCGTCCTGGTCCTAGTTCCATCCGAGGGTTTCGCGACTCAGCCAGTGGATCACAGCCAATTCCTACTGAAACCGGACAGTTTCCCGAAGTGCAAGGTGGCAGTCCCTGTCCGCTTGCCCCAAAAGACATGAAATGGCACGTCGCGCGTGAAATTCCCTTCCTGCTTTGAGGCATGCAGTCAAGGCCATGCCGATGGCATCCATATCGACAGTTTTGTCTGCCTTAGCAGTGAACAGCAAAGCCAAGATGAGCGCCCATGACCGCCCATCTGCGCTGCAAGCGTTCACGGCAGTGCTGTAAAGGACCGAGTCATGCAACTGCTGCTGCTGAGCCTTAGCGCAAAGGAACATAGCACCTTTCCACAAGGCTGCCGCGCCACATGCACTGACACAGGAACTGTATGTGACCACATCGCTGTGAAGCCGTCCGTGTCCCACTTGCTCCAGAAAATTTAGTGTAGACATCCACCGCTCGACCCTTTGACAAGCACTGATGCTTGCATTGTACGTAATCACATCTGTTCGAGTTTTTGTCTTCGCCACCGTTGTCGTCCGCACTGCATGCTGCCATTGACAAGCTTTCTCACATACACTGATCAACGCGTTGTAAGTAACACGGGTTGCAAATATGTCTTGATCCTGAAGCTGTGCCAGTAGGTGCAGGGATTGCTGCCAGCGACCTTCGTGCTCAAGTGCACTGAGCACGGCATTGTACATAATGATGTCTGTTTCTAGATGGATTGAGAGGAGCTTGTGCAGAAGCGAAACTGCTTGCTGCCATCGACTTGCTTTGGCACACGCGCTCATAGCAGCACTGAAAGTGATCAAGTCCGGCTGAAGCGCTTGATTTTCCGCCAGTTCCAAGACCCACAAAGCGTTCGGCCAGCGCGTGGCCTTCTCGCAAGCACTGATGGAAGCGTTGAAGGTTATCACATCAGGCACGATATGCAACACTCGCATGTCCTTCAGGGGTGGCGGGAGGTTGTGCGGCTATGCAGGCTCAAGGAATACTTCGAGGAGAGGCGAAAGCCTGCGTTTTCGAGAAAGAGAGGGACAAAGACGAACACAAAGCAGCCCACAAACAGATCTTGTGGTTCTTGCCTGGCATCCTTTTCGTGCCAGCAATTCGTGTCTGTTTATTGGCGCAGGTACTGAACCCTGTTGGAAGATAACGTCTCGATTGACCCATCGTTGATGTGGCAAAGGGTAAATGTGGAAATCCCGCAACCCGGAAATGGATTCAAATTCAGATCAAATCCAAAGGGCGAACTCGGGACGATGCGTCCTCTTGCAGCAATGCCAACGCCAGCTCCCAATGCCCGCATTTCTCACAGGCACTGATCGCTGCATTGAACATCACAACACTTAGCCTCAGCCGTGCAGATCTGAAGTTGTTCAGGAGGTGCAAAGACCACTGCCACTGCCGCCCTTTCTCACAAGCACTGATCATTGAGCCAGCAAGCATTGTGTCTTCCTGTAAGCCAAGCATGCGCACCTCCAAGAAAAGCTGTAAGGCCGCTTGCCAAGCTGCCGAGCCTGCCGAGCCTGCCGAGCCCTCGCAAGCACTCACTCCTAGACTGTACATAATCATATCTGCTACCAAGTGCTTGCGCTTGGCAGTTGCCAGCAGGTGCAAGGCTTCAGTCCACTTCCTAAGTCCTTTAATTCTGGAGCTGTAAGTGACAATAGCGGGCCTCAGAAACAGCGAATGCAATTCATTAAGCAAGTTCGATCCAAGCTCCCACGGTCCGGCTTTGCCTGTTGCGCTAATGGCAGCATTGAAGGATACTATACTTCGCTCCAGCTCTAGTTCTGGGAGGCGCGCGAGCAAGTTCAGTGCCTGCTTCCACTGCCTGGTGTTCCCGACTCGATGTATGGCAGAATTGCAGCACTTTATTTCTGATATTGGCATGCTGGGATCTGGTTGCTGAAACCCATGCCAAATGCCGGCCCAAAGTCTCGTGGAAAGCCATGGCAACTCCTGCTTGCGAACTTCTGCCAACACTGAAGCTTGTTCGCGAGTGGCAGGGCTGCGGGGAGCGATACATCAGCATGCAAGGGTCCGAGGCTTGATAGTATCTTGTCCGGATTCCCCGGTCACAATATGACACGACAGTGGTCAACAGTGGTTCAGGGGGGCTCGGCTTTGTCATGTCAGAAGGTAAAGAAGTGACTACTGGTAGCCTCCATCTGGCAGCAACAACTACAGGCGCCGGCCCACAAAAGGGGGTCTCTTCAACTCAAACATGAAGTGCCAGGCTGACAGCTCATCGACAAAATGATGGTTCCACTGCGCTGTATGTCTTCAGGGGTATCCTGTCCCCACGGGGCATCCGTCATCAACTGCTTCTTGTGGCCTGTGTCGCCAACCAAGCTGCTGAGACAAGACCAAGGCCACTGCATCCACCACCTGTGAGACCGCAGCTCAAAGCTCAGACGTACTCGCAACATGATGTCAGGTTGCGGCTGATGACAAACCAGCCAGGGCTGGGAAGTGTAGGTGGAGGCCAAACGCCCCAAGCCTCGAGCTGGCAATGTTCATCCTATGGAACATGACCAGCCCCTGTTGCTGCCAGCCGAGTTGCTTCTGCTGAAGTCTGCTCTATCCTTGCCACGTAGCGCTCCAAATCCTGTTCATCGCTGTCAGACTCCTGCAGATTTCGAAGCATGGCTGAACCCTGCTGAACCAAGGTAACCGGCCTTTTCTCGAAGCCGTTTAGAATGGCCGGGCATGGGTTCAGGGCTGAGCAAATGGCCCAGGATTACAAGATGTCACAAGATGTCAGGGTGTTGCAGGTCGGTGTGCTAGAGGCTGGGTGGCTATGAAAAGGATGCAGCAGAGCGTGGCTGCTTGCGTTGTCGGTTCTCGGTCGCTTCCACCACTTACTGCTCGACTGGATGTAGCTTCTGCAAACCATGGAATCTGAGAAAAGGGCAGGTTCTGGGCGCCTCCTCTGCATCCAGAGTCAGCTTTCGCACCAACATCTCCATCTCAGGCCCGCAGTCGTCATCATCCTCCTGTCTTGGCATGAGGCTCGTTAAATCTAGTCATTCCAGGGTCAGCGGGATTGGCTTGAAACCGCGACAGAAAGACAAGTGGAGAGATAGCGACGGGAGACTTACTTGTTTCTACTTTAAGTTTTAGCAGTGATTCTGTGGAGGCCATAGGTGCGAAGTTGATGCCGGGGCCTCGGCTTGCGTGGTTTAATGGTGACTCAGAAAGGTTTGAGCAACCTGTGGGGGTTTAGTATCTCTAGGACTATCCGTCGGAAAGATGTTCGTGATGCGACATTCGACTTGGGTGTCGAGGTTGTCAGAGCAATCGACATCAGCGGTGCACTTGTCATGTTCGTGAAGTTTACTCTTCCAGCTCGGGCTGATGCAACATGCAGCGTGTTGGTGAAGCTAGATTTGCCGGTGCAGCGCATCGAGCGGGGGATTCCCTCGTCAGCAAACCAAGCAACAACTGCCTCTTCACTGGTCTGTGCCAACTGTTCTGTCCTGCTGGCTTCTTGCAGCTCGAAGTCGGCTGAATATGGCCCGGGGGCAAGTGGAATCGACCTTGCTCAAGGAGTGAAGAAAAGACATGGTGAGCTTTAGCTTCAGCTCTGTAGAGCCGATGATTCAGACCTTACCAGTTCGCCGCTTCAAAGGATCGCACATCGATGCAGCCGACCATCACTCGCTCGCGCCTGCTTAAAAGGAACAGCTGTCGAGGCTTTCGCTGAGCCCTGGTAGGCAGCAGGGAAGCCTGGCACAGCGAGCGAGTCCCCACAAACCTGCGTGGAAGGGCACACCCCGCTTGGCCAAGTCCTCCTCAGCACAAACAAGACCGAGAGAGAGTGCAAGAGAGGGACTGTGACAGCGAGGAACACACCCGCATGTTGCCAGCCCTTTTCATTCTTAACTATCCCGCCTAGATATCCTCCCGACCCTGCACACCCAAGAACACCATGGCCCGAGGTGGGTGTAACCTAGTAGAGCCTGGGGCATGGGTTGTCCAGGGCCACACACGTATATATATATATGTTTTTTTAAACACACACCCATACATAGTTGCAAACCTCCACGTTACATCTCCCTTTGCTGCAATTTCATTGCTGTGTGAGATCGCGATGTTGAGGCAAGGGCAGCTTGTGAAGCCTGGGTTCCTGCCATCACGAACCTGGGCAGCGAGGTTCCAAAGATGCGCAATGTGATGTGTGCTGCTTTTGGCGTCTCCAAGTGAAGGACCAGATCTGCGGAGACTGCGCATCCTGCACCTTGGAGCATTAGTTAGCATGCTTTTGCAACTACCCGAAGGCTCTGATCAGGGCTCGCCGCCATCTGTGAGATTGCTTTCAAAGCTTCAACAGCAGCTTGCAGGACCTTGTCAAATCTTCTCAAGAACAGGTACTGTACGTGCGGGGTCAGGCTGGGCAGCTGGGCTTTGGTGGCTGTGTGCACACAGAGTATCACAGAGTAAAAGCTGGTCGCCTCCACTGCACGAGAGCTTCCATCTCCCGAAGCGACAACGAAGATCTTGGCAAAGCGAGAGAGGTCCTGAGACAAAAGTGAGAGTATCTCCTGTCCTGAAGTCCTTCTCAGATGGTTTTCTCGTGCCCCTCCTCGCGTGGCAGCTCGGAAGAGCCTCGGCTAAACTTAGTTCACTGGAAGGATCCATGCAACTGCAAGGTGGCAATTCGAGGACTCTGCACTCGATTCCTGCTGCGAATGGGTGGCGCCTGCTCATCAGGGACCGATACCCAACACTGAAAGAATCGAAGTTTCATCCAAGCCCTCTTGTTTTTCCAGCTTTTTCCGCAGTGCTCCGAGTTGCCACATAGTAGGCTACGCCAAGACCGTTCTCAAGGTGAGACAGCACCATCACTGGAGGGAGTCTCTGCACCGTCGACGAGAACTGCCAGTCACCACCAACAGCACGCAGCACCTGAGAGAGGCGCAGATTCCCTCGCATCGCCTCCTCTCGCCTCAGAGCCACCGCTGATCTTCTCAGGTCTCGGCTCTTAGAAGATCCGGTGGTGGCGCATGCTCGAGCCGGAGGCCGCCCCAGCTCCCGAAAAGCTCCAAGCGCCCCAAGTGACACCATGGCCTTGCTAGGCCGAAAACGGCACGTGAGCGCAGATTTGCTCGCTGGTTCCCGAAGCGACCTCAGCGTCATGCCCCTTGCTGAAGCGGCCTGAACCTGGTTGCAGCCTTCTCTCTCTCTCTCTCCTGTCAGGCAAGCACTGCATTGAAGGGCAACATTTCCACTCTAACCGTTCCACTCTCGAACTCTCGACAATGACATCAAGACAAGACGCCGCTACCATTCCTGACTCCTGACATTAGAGCACCGCCTTCAGATGTCAATGTATCCATCAAAGATTAAATTAAAGCTACCGAGACTTTTCATTTTCGCTTAACTGCATGCCATGGATTGCATGTTCCTTGATAGAAGCAACGCCGAGCGGTCTACGGGTAATTTGTCAAATGCTCAGGTGCCTGTCACCGCGCATTTTTTGCAGAGTCCAACGACATCGGCTTCCATTGGCGCAGGCTGGAAAAAAACAGCTCAGGCGAGAGCGGTCACCCCAGACCGGGAAGCCCAGAAGATGCAAGTGCCTCGGCTTTTGAGGCTCCCTCTGAAGCATCTGCACCGTAATTGGCTTGCATGTCGGGCCTGCAAACTTGCGACTTCGCTTCGGGTCCTCGAACGGAAGCTCGAAGCAGGGAGCCTTGTCAGCCAGCACAACGGTTCGTCGCACCATGGTGCTACAGTCTGCTACATCATGCGACCGCGAAGGTATAGTAAAGGAGCAGTCTTCACCTTCCCACAAAGTATCCAGCTGCGTTTCAGCATCTTGTTTTGGCTTTCCACGTGCTGGTCGTAATGCAGCCCGACACGAGGACACCTTGGAATCCCCAGAGTTTCAAAGCTGCAGCACAGGCATCTCTGATCTGAGCACGATCTTCCTGCTCACCAAAGTACTCCCGCAGGTCTCCCAGCGACCAGAATGAAGTACTCCAAAAGGCAATGGGACGGTGACTCTTGCCGAGTCATGGTGTACACGGCTGGACCGCTGACTTCAGCTTCCGGAGCACAAAGCAGATGTTCCTCACTTTCCAGGACTCAAGCCGTGGGTTCTACATGCAGAAAAATTGCAACAAGGAGCTGTCCCGATCTCCTCCGCCATGCTTGCCAATGTAATTCTACATAAGACACAAGGTAGAACACAATATTGATTTACGATGCTCTCGGGGTTCTTCTGATCATGGCTGTGCTGCACGACTTTGCGCGAATGTCACCATGCAGGGCATGCCTTTGCTGAACTTTCAGCCTTTGGACTGTGCGCTCTGCCACGGAACCTCCCGCATGATTGACTTGGCTTCGAGGCAAGCGACGGTTCTTTCGTCCGTTTTGTTGACGTTGGCAGTCAACAGAAGCCCTTCTAATGACCTTTGTCTTGAGATCGTGCTCATGCGAAGCACTCTGAGCAGACTGCTTTCGTGGTGCGCTGTGTGTTCCCTTTGTTGACCATTGCAAAGCTTGCGGAGCTGATGTCCTTGTCATAACATGTGACAGACTCTCGGAATCAGAATAGCTGTCAGATGGACAACAGTTCCAGTCCATTGCTTCACACCGGGAAACGAACCATCAACAGAACAAACACAAACGCACCCTATCACACACACACACACCCAGATGTGTGTGTGTGTGCATAAACATATATAAACACAAATATAAATAAATAAATATATATATATATATACAAAGATGATTCATCTCAGTAGGACTTGTCTAGCTGCCATTGTGTGCATGTGCGTGTACACAAACAAATAAATAACATACATACAGACATATATGTACATACATATACGCATACGTACAAACGTACACACGTATGTTGACAAGTTCGCAAGTCAAGCCAAGCCATTTTCGAATCAGAACTTCTAAACCTTGCTTAGCAGAAGCGTTAATCGAACAGAAGACATTTTGTAACGGAAGACCCTGTCTAGCCCTTGAGGGGCACGTGCTCGGGATATGTGAGTGATGCAGTCTCACCCCGCACATGGATGGTTCCCATAGTGCCCTTGCTGTCGAGAGGCCGCTTCAACTCTCAAGGCAGTTCCACGTTCGTGGCGGTGTCTGTTGTCTTCCCAGGCAAGCTTTCCAGCAGGCTTTTCCACAACGAGGATTGATTCATCGCGGAACCTCAACTGCAGCAGTTGCTGTCGCGCTCCATTAGAACAACCCTGTGAACGCCACTCAGGACTCCACAGGACGGAGTCCGACGGTTTTAGACCTTCCGTACACGCCGGCTCAATCGCGAGAATCTCCGTTGCGAAAATCGCAGGATCACCCTTGTACTCGTATCCTGGATAGCCTCTGCAGTGCAGAGTATCCCCCACGTGAAGCTCTCCCACGACCACGTGGAAGGAGGCACCAAGCCGCTGTTCCTTACACATGACCTTAACTCCACAGTCAGCAAACAGCACGTGGCCCATTCGGACCCGGCCAGCCACTCTGCCGCGAAAAGGAATCGTCGTGTCCAGGCACACATCGATGCCATGTTCTGGCCGCAGCTCCTCGCATCCCTCGATGATTTTAAGCACTTCCGTGTCTCCTTTCTCGCCCTCCATCCGCGGCCGTGGCGTCAATGTTGCTGGCAGGACTCCTAGGTTGTGCCAATGCTGCAGCGTGATGATCGCTTTGGCAGGGGTTCCAGCCTTAGTTTGGATCAAACCCGATCTTTGGATCCGAAGCGGCTTTCATCTGAGAATCTGAACAGAACACCAATGATTAACCCAACCACAGAAAATATGAGTCGTTGAAGCGTGGAGTATGTATCTGACTGCAAGATAGATGCAGGGACATGAATGGATGCAGTTTCTGGAATCGGTAGATCGCCTTGCCAACGGAGAAACATCATTATCATTGGATCACTTGGCCAGCTGGCTTGGATTTGCCATTTTGGCCAGCTATTTGGCTCGCCCACAGATACTCGCACAGCGGCAGGTTGGCCCAAGGACAAGCGCCGAGTTTCAGCTTGCAGATCATGCAAACACTCATGCACGGACTTCTCGTCGGTTTCCACTTTCCTCAACTGACAGGCTGCGAATGCGGTGGTAGTGACGGCAACAATCAACACTCGAAATATCTCGAAATGGAAGTGAAGAGTTTGAACTCCGGGCATTCCGGAGTTTGCAGAGGCCTCGACCAAGTTGCAAGCTTATCCGAAATAAGGCGGCGGTTGTTCACGGAACATAGTAGCTCTTAGCGTGCAGGGTTGTGGCAATAACATGGTTATCAGTGGGGCTTTAACCTAAGCGTCTCACACCTGTCGCTGATATTTCTGTTCTAAAGACATTCACAGAACGGCCTTATGTGTTTGGTACGTCTTCAAGTCTTGTACACACATCAAATGGCAACACACAAATCTAGGTACCCTTGCAATACAGTGACAGGGCCTTTCCTCATTTCCTTCTACGGTTTTGATGCTTTGATTCCACTGCTTCGGACACAACCCTCTCGATGTTTGGATGTGCTACTTTCGTCAAACGGTCTTGGTCTCTTGCATACCTTGCATTGCGAATTTTCCATGCCGCTCTGTATCCTAGCCTGGAGTAGGGCATCTGGTTCTTGCATGGTTCGTCTTCAGACCTTATGGCTGTGGTGTTTTGTTGTGCTTCTGATGACTCTGACATTGTCAATATCATCTGGTCTTTGCTCTACATGTGCTGCATGTTTGTAGCCTTTCAACATGACCACTGATTTTTTGAGTTCAGCTTTCTGCACGAATGATGTATACATGCATTGACATGCAGTATCTCGTCAAGAGTGTTCGGCCCATCCTGCCAGTATCCCTCAGCCGATTTAGTTTCTGTGATTCAAGCCTCTTGTTAAACTGAAGCATACAATTTGCATTAATGGGTGGCGTGTTGAATGAATTCCTCGTTCACGCATATACGATTGGAACATCCCAGCTAAGGTTGGCACGTTGTGTCATTTCCTATCTCAATTCATATGTGTTGCAACAGTCGCCATTGAAATCCATGATCAGTGCTTGTACTCTTGGTCAGTCGCTTATCATATTTCATCTTCTGGCACTGTGCGGTTTTTCAATCAGCTCAGCCCCAGCTCCCCATCCAGTGCCCACTTGTCTTCTCTGTAGTTCAAATTTGCCGCCAACTCCATTTCTCCATTTTCCAATTGGCCTCACTCATCCTCGCTCTGATAGCAGGATGTCCCTCTAACGCAGCAGGGGACAGTTGCCATCTGGGCTCACTACACGCCCGTCTGTTCCTATTGCCTTAAATGATGCTTGCTAGCTGCTATCTAATTGGTTTCTTATGCTCTTCAGGGCCAGTTACACAGAATGAGTACCCGTTGGTCATCTGGCGCGTTTCGGGATGCCACTACCCCACCTTAGTTGTCAATTGTTCCGACCTGCGTCCTAACAAGCATGTGTAATTGGATAGCTGCAAGATTTGCCAGAGAAAGTCGAGCGTCAGCTTCAGAGCGGCAATCACTGGACCCTCAGCTGGAACCAAGCGTCCCTTCGCGAGGTCCATGAGACTTCTGTCCACCATCACACACCGCAAACCCGACTTCGATGGCCAAACTAAGCACAAGCGCGTGTCTCGGTCCTTACCACAGGGGCTGATCAACTCCCTGCGCTCCTATGCGCTCCCGAAAGTGCGGGACATTGAGGTCTCGGCAAACTATTTCTGAAACTGTCAATCCCCTTTGCCGTCAGGCTTCATCGTAGACACTCTTGGACACCAGGCAGGCGCCAACAATTGCCTCTGGCATGTCAGTTCCAATGCTCGGCGGAATAAAAGAATGGAGCAACACATGCAGGGCCCATTCCGGAAGCCTGATGTACCTGTGCTCTCGTCGTTTCCGAGATCGGCGAATCATCCAAACGTAGAAAGAAACGAACTGACTGTCTGCGCGGCAAAGCTCGCCTGAAACTTCCTTATTGTGCACATGACGGTTCAAGAGCCTTGTATCAAGGCTTGCAGCTCCACCCGGATCACATGGTCACAAAACACATGCTGACCGGTACTGTGGAATACTGTGGCCCGTGCTTGCTGAGACAGCTCTTGGGGCACTGTCCTTCTGCACAACCGTTGGCCGCACCGGTGACAAAGGAGCACCAGCAGCTCCCAAACGAACAGAGGATAAAATGTGCAGACATGCCTGAGATCAGTAGACTTTGAGTTCAGTAGGTGGCAGGTCAGCCAACAAAAGCCACAGTTGGTCATCCTAGAAGCCAAACTAGGCCAGGCTTCCGAAGAATGCAAGGCTACAGGCCCCAGTTGCGCGGCATGTGTCGGGGCTGCGACCCGGATCGCCATCATTTCTTGATCGAAATCCTGGCAAACAAATGGGAACGAGCAACTTTGGATAGTCACACGACTGTCTAACCGTTGAGATCCTCATGCACTCCCAGGCAGACAATTGGATTGGCCAAAGGTGCTGCCCAGCTCCAATCTTCCTGTCGCGTGTTTGTCTGACAAAGGCCCACGGGTCACTCCAACTGCAGCGTCATGCATGCGCGAGAAAGCAGATCAAGTCGGTGTGATGCACGGCAGACATCTCAGCATGACGGACAGTTCTGTTGAACGATACCGAGAGCAAAATCGTCTCATACTCATACTGCCATCTCAAGCGCGTAGGGTTACCATGGGTTACCAAGCAAAGCTCCTTGGCGTTCTCGTCTAGCAGAACTACAGGACATGAGCCCCGCTTGGAGGTCAAGCTGTGCACTGCATCCGGCAGCGACGAAACCTCCGCACGCAGGGACTTCTGTTTTGGTTGCTTATCGTTGTCTCGTTTGCACCCCTTGTGGTGTTTTGCCTAGCCTAACTCACATGAGATCGTCTGTCTACAAACTGACTTTGCTTTACTACTCACTCGGCCTTTTGCGTCTTCGACACGTGTGCGATGCTCGCCCCCGTCTGTCCTCCCTGCTCACCTAGATAGGCGACCCACTCAGGCTGCTTTGAGCGACGCGCCTCGGGCCCAGTTGCGGCTTGTATCTGTCGAACCCAATCCTCGGTCTATCGTGTCTCATCCATGATCCCATGTTAACCCTCTGTACAGTACATGCAGTCACGCTAACATTGGTCAATGGGGTGCTTCAAGCGGGGACACCGCCTCCAGGTCACATCGGCTTCTCACAGAGGGTAAACAACCGCTTGAAAGGGGAGTAGCTGGATGGACACGAGGCAACTGCCACACGGGCACTTGCAGGTTTAAGCAGCATCTGTCTATGCGGCACTCTAGTCTATGGGGTTCTGCTTGGCGCGGCCTGATGGACCGCTGAGACACAAACAAACGTGGCTGCAACCACGGGCCTGGTAGGTGTAGGCAGGTAGGTAGGTAGGTAGGTGTGCGTGTATGGGGTGTGGAGGTTAAAGGCCCAGCAGAAGAGTTACGGTTCATGGAAGTTAGAGCGTCACCAGGTCGAGAGGCCTTTTCACTCAACCCGATGCAGCGGAGTTTTACCACTGGGAGAAGCTCATACGCCCTGCCCAGGTGTTAGAACCACTCGCCTTGAAGACTCTGTCTGGTCTTCGAAAGCGTCGAGGAATACAAAGAACTTCCCCAGTATCGCAAGTCAATTTTTAGAGAACTGGACTAGGGTGACTGCAACGATGAATCCTAGATGGGATTGGATTTTACTCGCTCTGACAGGGCGTAGGCAGCTCGAGCCGCTGGAACAGAATCAGCTCATGAGAATGTTGCCATCAAGACACACGGCTAAGTTGAAGTACCGAAGTATAAGTGGAATTATGATCGGCTTTGCATGCTCAGAGTAAAGCCACACAGGCCTCCATGCATCGTTATCAAAATACGAGATCTTTTTTACATGCTTGTGGGTCCCATAATTTGGTTCCTGAGTAGGCTCCGCCTAATGCTGCTGCTGCAGTCCTATTTCCACACCATCCGCTCCTCACTTCGGAAAATCTGCGACTCCCGTCCAAGTTCGGTTCGATTTGGGATGTCAGACATGAGGTAGTCAGAAGCTTTGGGGGGCGCACAGCTGCACCGGCCTGGGTTCTTCTGCATACAAGCTCTTCCCAGATCTACCTGAGGCAACCCTGCCAATTCTGCAATGCAAAGTGTCCCACAGTACGGCGCAAGAAACATCCCTTTCTTCTTGTCTCTATTCTCAATTCTCAAAGCACGCTATTCTCCTCAACACCGCCCGAAGTAAGCATCGAGGGGCGAGGGGCGCTAGACTCACCAAAGTGGACAAATGTGGACGAAAACGTTGCCGGCAACAGGCTTATGGCACAATCGGCAACTTGACCAATGCTGCATGCACGTTTGCTGGTCAAGCTGTGTCAAGCTGACGTAGATCAAGGTTCCACGAGAGACTTTCTTGAAATTTCTGAACTAGCTGGGCGTGACTGTGTGCCGTGTTGGAACACATAGACTGATGTGATGTGGACGGGCAAGCGACTCCTGCAGACCAGGGAGTGAAGAAAACTGAGGACCGTGCCAGCTCCGAAGCAGCAAACTCAAAGTCTTCGGACTGCAGGTCTAGAACTCGGTAGCTCTCAGCAGTGAGGAGCAGCACCTAGGTTGCCACACATGGCACATCATGACACCTTTGGCCGTCTGTGGAGCATTGAGGTGAGGAACGCGAACACGGCATTCGGCGCCGAAGGCGAAGGCTGCTTTCACGGAGCGCACAAGCTCATCGAGCCGATGTCCCAAGCGGGCAATCAGCCAAACTTGGCAAGGCACCATGGCATCGCATGGCATGAACACATCCGGCTCCCATTGCATGCTCGTTGCGTGTTCCTGTTTGCATGTGCATGTCAGTCTGGGTCCGTTGCTAATTCCTCTAGTGTTCCCGGTTGCCGTGCGCCAAATTCAAATCGCATTCAGAAGCTGACTGGGAGACGCAACGGCCAGCTACTACCTAATTAAAGACAGGCGATGAGTTTCGACCTCAACCTCATATAGCATGCTATATCGAAGCCGGAAGCTTCCAGTCACTGCTATCTTATCGGTGCGATGCAGTGTGGCAAAGGGATCTTGCATTCACGGTTGGTGCCCTTTCTTTCAGCCCACGATTATATTCGAATCGAAACGTTCCGTCCACATCGGCTCGCGTTCCCCTCTGTATTTCAAGGCCTCAGCACTGCTTTTTCGCGTGATAATTAGAGTGGTGTCAAGCGCGAGGGCGAGAGTGAATGAGGAGTACCCGGCAGGCCGCGATGGCCGCAGCTCAGGACGGCAATTCTACGCGGAAACAAGTAAAATACAAGCATGCATATCCGAATCAATCGCCGGAAAACACTCTAAGTTTGGTTGGCTGGTGTTGGACGTCTGAAAATGTCGGCCAGTTCTCCCACTCAAAATGTATCCCGACTCACAACATGCGTGGACAGCAGCTCGTTGACAAGTTTCGTTGAGTTTGGAAGCACGCCCCCCCAGCTCCAGCAGCAAGAGATCGTGCAAGACACCTACTACGTTGCCTCGCTTTTCCTGTCGCTACCGGGACATTGACCGCCTGGATAACAGTTTTTCGGGCTCAATGCTCGCTTCGCCAAGTTGTTGCGGGTTCCTTGCAAGCTCAACGCTAGGGAGACCTAGCGAGTTAGTAGCCACTCCAGGCAGCTGCTGTGCAGAAACTACCTGCCTGCGCCGCTCCGAGGGTGCTGAAGCTGATAATTCCGAAGCTGATTCCGAAGCCGCGTCGGCCGGTGTGTCTTCTGCAGGGCAAGACGTGGCCTGCACGACAAATCAAACACCTTAAGGCCGTCAGGTCTGTGGCACAGTGGCTACATGTTATTCTCAATGCGAACTGTGGACGAGGGCACACCTCCTCGGCACTGCTTTCGCTCTCTGAAACGTGCCCCTCATTTGCATGTACCTGCCGAAAGCCCACTGAAGATGTGCGGAGAGGCGCTCGACTGTGCCTCTAAGCTTTGGCAAGCTTCTTGAAGTCCTATCCAATAGCTTCAGCATACTCAACACTGGACTCAACACTGCTTGAGACTTGTGGTGACTGCCATTTTGCAAACCATCCTCGGGCGAGCTGTGGATCAGCTGGGGAAAGCATCAGCCAGATGCCCCCTGTACAGTACAACAGCACCATGCAGACACGGGGGATGTGCACGATCGAACCGCGACAGTCCAAGGTTGATCCGAACAGCGAGGCGAACGTGCCTTCATCAGCTAAGGTCCTGCAAAGCCGCTCTCAAGACGCTGGGTGACGTCCCGGACCATTCAGAGCTCCTCCCTTGCGATGATCCACTCACCCAGTTCATCTCGAAAGTGCTGGGCATATCAAGCCTTAGATCCAGCTGTCGCATCAAAAGTGACAGGATGCGGACTTTACTCGAGAAAGAGGCCGTGTCTGCCGCATGGATGCGGCTGCGACCTCGTCTCAGAGCACAAAAAGCATGCTGCAGAGTAACTTCACTAACATCAGAAGAAAAGAATAGAAAAGTTATATTTCACATACACATATATATATATGTATAACTATGAAATATGTGTATACACATCTTTATACTTCTATCTGTATTTGTACTACATTGTATTCAAACATACTATAGAATGACAATTGTTATACATTATATTGTATGGTGTTATATTTTTACTATGACTCTATCATGTAACAATCTCTTTACTCTATTCTGTTCTCCTCTATCCTATTCCATTAAAACATAATGTAGTATGAACATGTGAGAATGTACCATATCAAAACATACCACATCATATTTGCATTATGTTAGATCATATCGAAAGAATGCATTACATTTCGCTGTGTTACGTTATGCTGTTTGCAATATTGTGTTATATGATACCATACTCGGTTTTCTCTTGCTCTATACTGTATCAAACTATACCATATTTGCATTAATTATATCATATGTTCTTCATTTACCTGGCTTTATAACATAATTTGTTATATCATAATCCGAATTATCTTCCATTCTTGCGTTTTCTGTTCTCACATGTGAAAACATAATATAACATAATGTAATATATACAAAAACGTACACATATATGAATATATATATATAATACAACCACCTACCTATATTATATATACATATGTATCTATTTATGTATTTATTGATCTATTTGTAGTTATACATGCCAACCCCCACCCCGAAGAAATACCGCGAGGTGCCGCGACAACGCCACCAATCCTCCTAAGTTTAGGCTTCTGGTGTATGATCCAGGTTTCACGTTAGGCTTTGAAGTTCCGAGGGAACAGCATATGCGTATCGGCAGGCGCCTTCATTCTCAGATCGCGACCCTTCACGCAGATACTCCGAGAGATGATTTCTTACTTCCACAATACCCGAAGCTCAGTATGGGCCCGAGTACTAATTCCGAAGGTAGCCTTCACTGTAGTCTCACATCAAGGCCCCAGCGAATAAACATGAGCCTTGACTCAAAGTATCGCTAAGATTAACCCTGCCATTAGACCTTACCTTGGCCCCAATGGTGACGGTAGTCTTCTATTTCATGTTCACCCACAAAAGATGCCTTCTAGATTCAAGTCTTTGAAACGTATGGGTCAAATTGTTATGTCGACGAGTAACCCCACATATTAACTCCCATATCGACCTGACGGTTAACATTATAACATACATCAGCCTGATTGCCCCTGCGATAGTAAGGATATTGCAGTTCCGGCAACCCTAATATTGGATCTGACTCCAAGGTGGACCTTACTCGCAAAGTTAGTATTACCCACAAGCCATAAGCTGTTCCGATTGGCAACCTTCGTGCTGTACCGAGTACTTCCTTCAACAGCAACCCAAAGAATAGCCTTGGGAGAAACCCCGACCATTGGCCTCATCAGCAGGATAATTCATCCAGATGTAGCTGTGGAATCCCTAGCATGAGCATTCAAGTCCCCGAAGTTGAATGTCATGCCGTGCCTAATGCTAGCTACTGTTGGTATTACTACAGGTAAGCTGAATATTGCCCAAACATTTACTTCAACGGTGGTCGTCATATTCATACTCATATTTAACTACACAGGACGAATTCAATTAAGAACCGCAATCCTTGCTGTCTTCGCTCTTGTGTTGCCCAAGTGATGGCCTGTAGATTCTTAGGGGTGATACCAGCATGTGTTTGTTTACCTCGACATATTGTTTGTGGCACCCCTTTCTCACAGAGGTATATGATCATGTCGGAATTGCTGTCGGACTTGCCCGTATGCGTGCCTGTACATTTATGTGTGTATATACAACATGCTAGCCCTAAGGGTAAACCTGTACTAGATACCAACACAATGACAAGGATGGTTAACTGACTCCTGATTCCAAACAACATCCCTAACCGAATCCTTGTCATTCGCCCTTATGTCAATGGTGACGGTACTGTTCGCCCTGGCAGAAGCCCTAAGGCCATCCATAGTAACTATAGTAGTTTTAACACCACTCATAATCTGACCCCGATGTTTCCCTTATTTAATGTACCGCCTAAGTCAGCCAGAAGAAATCGTGGTGGTAGCTGTGGTAACCCTGACATCCTGGGTCCTGGTCTGTGTTAAACCTGCAAAATTGGCTTTGTACTAACCCCAAAACTGATCCGAATCAAGTCCTGGTTACAAGCGGAATCGAATCCCAATCGTCATGACACTCGAAACCTAATTGGCGCACTAGCTCGTAACGTGCACAAACAACAAATGAAGCACACGCTCCCTGCTAGGAAAAACTTGGTCTTGGAGTGAAATACCAACTTTTCCCAGGAAAACAATGGTTTGGGACCGGAAAACACACCTTGTCCTAGGAAAAACTAAACAAACATCATTGGCAAACTATACGGCCAACTTCCAAAAACACGCTTTTGTTGGTTTTCACTAGGAAAAAAGTTTTGGGCCTAAAGGAAAAAGATGGTTTTGGTGCGAAAAACCAAAACCAAGATTTTCCTACGGAAAATAAAAAACAATTTTCTTTGGTCTTTGGCCGCGTAGTTTCCCAAAAAATGTTTCGCTTTTGTGTTGTTGGATTTTCGTAGGAAAAAGTTTCTTTTCCGGTCCACAACCATCATTTTCCTAGGAACGAGTAGGTTTTCCGATCCAAACAATCTTTTTCATGGGAATAAGTCGGTCTTTTTAACGAAACCAACTTTTTCCTAGGGAAACAAAAAACAATCTTTTGAGAGTTTGGCTGTATAGTTTTCCAAGACATGTTTGTTTGGTTTTTGGATTTGGCTACAGAAGGTTTTTGATTGGAAGAACACAGTGTCGCCGTGGAGTGCGTGCTGACGTCGAACCTAAACCAGTTGTCTGGCACGCTCTGTTGAAATGTGGGTTTGGTTTTGATAGTCTGTGAGAGATACAGAATCCGGACCTGCCAGAAAAGCCGGTTTGACACGGTATTTACGATACAAAACGAAGGTCGGTAGTTCATGGGGGTGGGGGTTACCACATACATACATACATGCATACATGCATGCATACATACATATCTACATACACCTCTTTGCACATATCCTTCAGCCGGATTTGATATGCTACCACTAGCTATTGACGGCTCATGCCCCAGTGTCAGGAAGCTGGTGCTAAAAGTTGTTGACTCATCGCAGCGAGGCTGGGTGATTGTCAGTTATTGTCGGTCAATGGCCACGTGGCACTGGCAGTCAGTGGGGCACGCCATCTTCTTGTGGTTTGTACAACTCTATGCACATGACTGTCTGCGTGAAGCCACTGTGAGAAGAGCCTGCGAATGCAAGATGAGAAATCCAATGCTTACACCTCCTTGCTGGCACACCTTGAGGCTCAGACCACTTGCTTCTGGGAGAGGGGCCGGAAGTGAATGTCCTGCTGGGTTTGCACGTCAGAGCTCGTTGCAACTGGAGTAGTCTTGGCCGCAGTTGTGGCAGTAGCTGCATGAACAGACCGTTACCAAGAATTACCTCTGATCTCCTGCATGTCAAGCAGGGTTGGCCCACCATCCAAAGCCACCGTGGCTGCTGCCGGGAGACTGAGCAGGATAGGGTATCAGCAGGAGAGTATCACTGCAACCGGCTGCTTTCACTCTGGCCTGCGACTTGAAATCATACTTCCTCTGCGACGCACATGAAGAACGAAGTGCTCTGTCCCCTGCGGAATGTCCTGCGCTGTGTCCGCAACACGACGGCAACATGCGTGTTGCAGAATCCATGCACGTACAACTACGCCTTTCAACTGTGTGAAAGAAGCTGACTGATGTACAAACCACCGCATGCTCTGCTGCTTGCCGTCGTGCCAGTTCACGAATACATGTCACAACCATCATCTTTCATCCAGCTCTGGAACATCCGTGGAGAGCCCCTGCAAGTCTGGGTCCACGTTCGACACAGAGCACGAGACGACAGAGGCAAGGTCCTGGCTGGTGGAAAAGCTTTGATTCCTGATGATGGAGTACTGTGCCACGTGCCTCTAACTCTAGAACCGCAGAAACCATTTGTTGAGCTTTTGGCAACTTTGGATAAGTCCTGCGATATGCTTTCCGACATCTCTTCGAAGAAGCCCAGGCCGAGGACCTGTGCTCCCAGTGATGCCACGCCGTGCAAGAGCTGGCAATACGTCTGGAGGCATCGCTGCGCAGTGGATGGCTTGCAGCAAAGCTGGATGAACCTTTGAGACGCAAAGTCGCGACTGTTGAAAATGAGCCGAGAAGACACAGACAAGCTTCGGATCCAAAGAACCCGGCAGCGAAGTTTGCAAAGTCGAGAGGCAAGCGCAGGCCTCACGAACTGTCTGTTGCAGCGGGCATCACCCTGAGGCTGCATCAGCAGCTCAAGCCGTTTGCAAGCAACGGCTTTAGGCCATGTGTACACTCCACCAATCTGTGTCGGTCTGTTCATCCTTCGTGCTTAGGAGGCTGGGGAATTCAGCGCAAGCTTCGAGTGTCGTGCTTCTTTCTTCCTTCGTTCTTTCAGAGGGCAGTGAGAAGTCTTTGGGGACTCCAGCATGCTCCGAGTTTGGGATTTTCGCAGTGGTTGTAGTGGAAGTGTTGGAATTCCCGCTCTTGTACAGCATTATACAGTAGGCGCTACGAGCCAATACAATGAGTCTAGAGTCTAGTGGAAATGTACTATACCATCGTCTACTGATCTACTGGTAAGGCTTCGGGATTCTCTCTGACCTCTCCAAGCTCATTGCATCACCCCTTTGCTTGGAGGGTTTGCCATGTGCCATCTCCGATTAGGAGTTACAGCTCGTCATCTCCCATTAGAGCTTCAGCCTTGCCATCCATCGCTGTCGATCAAGCTTCAAGTTTTTTCGAGAACCAGCCACTCTTATCTCTTTGGTGTGTAAGGTTTTGGGTTGGGTTTGCCATAGGTCATCTTCTGCTCAGGCTGAGAGGACTTGGGGATCCACGGTGATTGAATGCTATTGAATGCTCCTTGGGGCAGAACTACGACGATGTTACGAGTAATTATCGGTTCCGGGCTTGATGCAAACCCGCTGTCCTAGGAATGACAAGGCTACTTCCGTGCCGTGCTTGTCATGCAGTAGTGCATCCTTCAGCTGTATCCTCTCCCCTCCCCACGACTTCGCAATTTTCTACTCCGTCAGCCCGTCTGCTGAAAGTGCACGTGCGAACCTTTGCCACGCTTTCAAGTGACCGCCCATGAGCGCCCCTTTTCTTTGCACTTCATTTCGAGAATCATACGGGGAACCAACTGCGCTTGGCTCGGCCTCCAAAACCGTCCCGCTGTTTGAATCCGTTTTGGTACTTCTTCGGGTGCAGGCAGGGCCTGCTTGACGTACCGTCTTTCGGTACTCTGTTTTTTCCACGAAGTCTGCATTGCAAAGTGCTTTGGCCAACAACGCTTATACTCCTCTCATAAACTGCCTGCACGACAAAACGGCGACATATGTTTGTTCCAGATTACCGGCTTCAGATGTGTTTCAAATGAGGCTTGGACAGATTTGCCACTTTTTGCATCTTTTTGCAAACATACTGCACAGGGGCAAAACGAACAATATGCAAATTTCCATGGGGTGCTACGAGTTTGCTCGCATTCTATGCAGCAAAGGCTTCAGACCGCTCAAACCGAGATTTTCGAGGGGTAGGTTCCTGCAATGCGAGCCTTTGCCCACAGCTAGCACAGCGTCCTGCGCGGTGCTCATCTCACAGACCGAGGGTCCCACGAGCGCACAGTTCGCCCTTCTTGACGTGCACATCGCTCAGCAGCTCCATCGACGTGCCTATGAGTACGGTCCGTTCACAGGAGCCCATAGGTCTCAGCTCCTCCTTAGCCCCTCCAAGGGGCCGGCCGAGGGGTGAAGGAATCCCTTCTGCCATCTTGGCTTTGAGCTCCTCTCAAAAAGGAATCAAATGGACCTGAGTTCTACCTGATTCTACCTTCAACAAACAAGTGGCTTGGAGCCTCCAGCGCAGCATCTGCCACCGGTTCAGCATTTCTGCACAAGGCCTGCAGCGTTGTTGCGGAGATGTCCTTCCTAGATTCTGCCCAGTTCACTGCAGGGCTCCTCGAAAGTCTCAGAACCGCGTGCTGCCGGCTGCCTCTGTACAATCTTTGGATGAGACTCCAGGGCTGAAACACTCAGACTTGCTCGCGTCGGTGCAGCTTGCCTTTGGCGTGCTGCCGCAGAGCCAAGAATGCTTAAGGTCCCGCCCAAGCTTGCAGCCAACCTTGGTGTTGCTGCAAAGATTCAACATCATCTTGCTAAAGCCGAAACACAGGCTTGCGTTGCTTTGGACAAGACCCTCTACAGTGTACAGATTTGCAATTTGCGAGGGTGTTGCTACCTGACTGCTGATTGTGTGCAGCTCTGGAAATCGGCCCCGAAATAACCCGTGCATGTCGACGAGCCGCGATTGTTTTTGGACATGCGTTGCCACGCTAGCTGGCATTCCAAAAGGATCAAAAAGGCTTCCAAAAACTCCGAGGTGTTTTCTGGGCAGGCTGCAGCCTTCACGCGTTTTCGGCTTTTTGATGGCTTGCGTGCATATAGCCTGTGGTTGATGTCCGAATCAGCAATTCCCCCCATCAATGACATCAAGAATTGTCTGTTGGAGCGTAGCTGTTCGTCAAATTCGCGATCCAAGTCTGGCTGGGGCAGCGACGGGCGGGATGCCGCCTGCAAGATTCTGTTGTTCCCGTTGGGCTTGCCAGATGCGAGCCGCATGATGCAGGCCACATGCAAATGCTGTGATTGGCATCCAACCTCTGTACAGCGCATTCTACTCGTTACTCTGCTGCTTGCATACTATGCAGCGAATGCTCGAAGCACAACACGTTGCAGAAGCAGTGTAGCAGCAGTCAACCCGCAACCGTGCTGCAAAGGGGAGGCCTGTGTTGCATAGCGGCCGCTGCAATGGACCATCCAGGCCTGCACTTGCACAATCCCGCGAATTCGGGTTGGCTCGGCTGAGTTGCCAGATACTGCGAGCGGTGATACTTGCAATTGGATCACGAGGGCTCTGCATCACTGCTGAGCCGTGGCTTGCTCAGAACTTGGAACTGCTGCCTCAGGTGCAGCCACAACGAGCCTGCAATGCCAGCACTCTGTTCAGCCAGGGTGCTCCACCAGTGCCAATCTCAGCCAGGTCTGACCTGCAGAGATAAGAGCCAACGCAGAAGGATTTGGTCTGCTGGATGAGGCTTGGGCAGTCGTACTCACAGGGGAGGAACAAAGGTGCCTTGAGTGCCGGCAGCATCTGGCAATCGAGGGAGCACTGTGTCGCGCTTTCTCGTCCGTGTAAGGTTTCTGCAACCATTTGGACGTTCTTCAGTTGGACAGCCTGCCGAGTGCGAGATTGTCAAGCTTCAACCGGAGCCTTCAATGACACCGGCTCTGTCCCAGGTTTGCCGATGCCTGCTTTGCATGGTGCCGGCAGGCGTCCATGGCCTCTCTGTATAAGTGAGCCCACAGTACAAGTGCTGAAGCTCCCAAGGCTGAGCAGCCGTACAAAGGCGATAAGCAGCGCAGATGATATACAGGTTTGACCGTAGACCTCACTTCCGCAGGCTCAACACCCCATTTCAACAGCAGGTTTGGCGCAGAACTATGCTCCTATGACTCCTATGTTTACCGCGCTGATCCTGGTGCTTCCGAGGCAGCAGCCACGTGGCTGCAAAGACCGACGAGTTCTGCATCAACCTGAACCTGGCAGGTCGTGGACCAAGTTGATAGGGAAATAAGATTTCTGTGCCCCTCGCCTCGAAAATAACTGTTGAACCTTCGCGCCTTTTGAGAGACAGCAGTCGTGGAACCTGTCGGGTTCAGTTGGACTGCCCAGCATTGCCAATGCAGATTTCCCGTACAGGCTGGGCTGAAGCACCGGCGTGGCCCAAGGAAAAGGTATTCGTCGAAAGCTGAGAGCCGGAAGGGTCTCTGGAGGCTCTCGCACATGCGGCCTGGACATACTTGCCACATCATAAATGCCATGCCAGATTCTCCGTCACACACACACACACTGTAGACAAGGTCGCCGAAACATCCGTCGCTAACAAATCATTCGCATACACACAGCTAGAAGCACAACCTAAGGTCATCCATGCTCGTTAAACTGTTAAACTCCCCTGCCTGGAGCTCTGCAGCAGAGCATGGGCGTTTGTACCTTCAGTTCTTACACAAATGATGCACAGGGGAAGATGTGTGCCCCACACCCGAGGCTCTCGCCACCGAACCCAAAAGACGACAAGCCAGCCTCAGTTTGGCGAGCGGAGAGTCTTTGAGGCTGGGGTACAGCATGCGCGTGGTGAAATCAACAAAACTGAACCGCCAGTTCACATTGGCACTCACCATTCCAGAAAGCTTTTCCAGAGCGGTTGAAGGCTTTGCATTGAAGTCCTGCCAGCATCTACTTTGCACGATTTGCGCGACAGTATGGAAAATGTCCTGAAGCTCAACGTGTGGGTTGAGTGAGCTGAGGTGCAGATTTGGCGGAACCTGGCTCTCAGCTGCTGCAGCTTAGAAAAGCAGAGCAGCTTCGCGAACACCTCCAGCTGCGCCACGATTGCCAGACACCTCGAGGAATTCTACAGCCCTGTGAGCACCGTGACCATGAGACTCTCATTACACAATGCACGCGTCTGCGCGGAAGCCTATTCACAACGAGCTAACTAGCTCTTTCACGACTTTCCACAAAGAAGCATTTGGGCAGTGGACTTTTGCAAACCCAGTGCTCCCGCAGCACCCTCAAGGTGGCCAACCTGTAGAAGTGAGGGACACGGCTACGCAGGTGCGTCGCCAAACTCTCAGATCGAGGCATTGGTTTTTCCAGCCATCAAGAAGAGCGTGTTTAAGCGGCCATCACCAAGCGTTCCACGCAACCCACCAACCTCGAAGGATTTCGCCAAAGCGGCACGACAACTTCGTCTCATCTCTTGCCTCAATGGGATCTCCAAGGGCAGTTCCGGTGCCATGGCACTCAACCTGCGCGCAGCAGCTTTGGCAGTAGAACGAGCCGAGCGAAGCCGAACATGTCAGGCACGCTGCTGAGACCTCAGCGGCTTGCAGGCCTGCACAACGGGCACCGATACCACTCAGCGGATGTTGTCTGGGACTCTGGGATCTACAGGGACTTGTGCCTGACAGCCCAAGAGCAGCGTTGATGACCCGCTGCTGAGCCGGTCCGTTCGGCGCGGTGAGAGACGAGCTTCTTCCATCCTGGCATCGCCGCCAGCTATTGGCGTGAGCATGCAGCATGCTGCAGTGCACCGAGGGCCGCTGAGGTGGTCCCTGAAGGGCGCTATGCCGCTATGCATTGCCTGGTTGGCCATGGAACCCAGCAGCGTGCCGTGGCCGCCGCGGCCCTGACCATGGAGATCCTGCGAGAGGTGCCGCACCGTAGTACCGAGCCGCACACCGAAAGGTCAGAGGTCACTCCGTTTTTCGAGTGGAGAGTCCCTCCTCTTCTCTCTCTTCGATGAACAGAGAGCCAAAGCCCTCCCCTCGTGCGAAACCTGAGTGCCAGCTCCGAAGGCTACATTTCAAGTACCATGATGGAGCATTGCAGTAGCCGGAATAGGGAATCACAAGCGGGTGGCATGTGTAGCCAAACCATATTCCTTTGCGTACGTTTTGGCTCAACTAAGCTTGATATGATATGATCTGATATCTGTTGCTGCGGCCCGGGGTGAGGATGAGCCACTGGCATAGGCTTCGGCGATCTCTCGAGTCCGTCTGTTCGGTTAGATTACACCAGGTTGAAACACCCTGCCCGATATGTCTTGCATTCTGCATCCGAAGCGCCATCTGCAGAAATGTCAAAGGTTCTGCACCGCCCACTTGCGGACAGGAGCCTTCCATTGCTAAACGCGACGAACGGCTCCTGAGTCTTGCTTGCAGGAAACCACTTCCTGAATCCTGCTGTGCCTACAGTGGTTTCTTCGGCTCATCGCCAAGGCTCCACAATCAAATTCAGCTGACTGCCGCTGCAAATGACGGCTTCTAGCCCGGCACGCAGTCGCAGAATTGCAAGATCCAAAGCTACCAGCGTAGACGAACAAGCTGTGTCAACTGCGACGCTCACCCCCTCCAGCCCAAGGCAGAAAGAGAGACGGTTTGCTGCAATGCTCGCCTGAGATTGGCCGGTCATGGTCATGGCATGGAAGAACACCGGTTTACGTACTGCAGGGTTCTTAAGTCTGCAAAAAAGCGAGGCACGTGCGTGCCCGGTCCCATGAAAGTGCCTGCCTTTCGCTCCCTGGAGGTCTTTGCCCAGTCATTGGCGCATTGCCCGACGAAAACGCCAATCGCCGCTTTTGCCAAGGACTTGCGAAGCCGCCCAGCATCGTGGCAGGCCGCATAGGAAACCTCCAACGTGTTTCGCTGCTGTGGATCAATTGCAGACGCTTCGTTGCTGGAAATCCCAAACAACCGGTGGTCGAAGAGATCAGTCCCTTCCAGCATACTGGCATGGCGAGCATATGTCACGAACTCAGCGCCGGACATGTTGGCATCAAAGCATTCGTTGATGTCAAAGCGTCGTAGCGGGACCTCTGTGACAGCATCAACCTCTTTGGAAAAGATCTGCCAAGCTTGTGAAGCTTCCGCAGCCGAAGCAGTCGAAACATCCACTCCCGGGAAGCGACATGAATTGCCTTGCACTGCACAAAAAGAGACCTTCTTCTGGAAATCAACGGGGCCAGTTTGTGGTGAAGAGCCTTGACATTCCAAAAAGGCTGAAACTTGCTGGGCAGTTGGATAGTCAAACGCCAGAGTTTGCGGTAGCGGGATGCCACTGTCGGTCGAGAGCTTTCGGCGGAACTCCACGGCCGAAAGTGAATCCAGGCCGGCTGCAGTGAGTGGGTCTTCAGGACCAATCTCGCCGATCAAGCCGGCCAGAACTGCCAGAACCCAGTCCAATGTATTCTGGTAGGGCGGGGGGATGCCCCTCATCTTCTGGTTCGCATCCTCCTGCGCAACATCATCTATACTTCCCACATCGCGACGAGAATCCACGAAAGTGAAGTATTCGCGAGCTTGCACCGGTCTCAGAAATGTCTCCCAGTCCATGTTGGCAAAACTGACCGCACTTTCGACACTTAAAAACGCCATTGCCGATGCCATGGCAGACAGGCCTTAGATGATCGACATGCTGGCTTCGAGACCCCTGGACAGGCACTTTTTCCAGGATATACGGGCTCAAGAGCTGAGCTCGCACGTGTCTTTAACATTTCGCTTGGGTTTTTCTGCCGGGCTCCATTCTAGCACTGGCACGCCGGACGAAAACTTGATGGATCCAGACTCTAGAATCATCTGCAACCCAACAGGCCCGCAATGCAGCAGCTGGCTGGTGTACGCCATCGTGCTTTCAATTCTTGTGGGATTGCTGCCGATGCTTGTGTCAACGCTCCGACATATCTACCGAAGAGATCCAGGTAAGGCTTCGGCAACGATAACGGACTGAGGCATGGACCCACATCCAGAGGAATTCCCTTTTGACACAGGTGCCGCAAGCTGTGGGGCTGTGCCATTCCCAAGTTTAGCCATGCTCCCCACTGCAAGCTCAATGTCCTCTGTCCAGCTAAACCTTACAGCTCTCAAGGCACGGCTTGCTCCTGACACGCATGCTACGCTGCACGCAAGAAATGCTAAGTCAGAGACGCCACTTGTGCATCATGGCATCCAAGCATGCGTTGGCGGCTGCGTAGTTCGCCTGTCCGGCCGAGCCAAGGATTGCGGCAGTAGATGAGAATGCGAGCACGAAGTCCAAGTGCTGCCATCGATTTGTCTCCATCAGCACCTAGGACAGAGATATGGCAAGGAAGACGAAACTCTCAGCTCAAGCCGAATCAATGCCCATTATGAAGGACACTCCTTAGCCTTAACTTAGCATGAATTCTCAGGCGGGGCTCTTTCTGGAGCAAATGCAGCCCACGAACTTTTGGACCGAAGGTAGCCTCCAAGTCTTGCCTGTCGAGCCGTGCCAGCAAGCCATCCTGTATTAGTCCTGAAAGATGGAACACACCGGCAAGGGTGCTCCATCCATCCTTCTGTAGCAGGATCTGGTGGGCGTCGGCCGCGCTGAGGTCGCCTTATCGCTGCAGAGTGCCTTTCCCTCTGACCAGCCCTGGCTAAACACACGGTTTTTGGCGGAGTGACACGCCCAGAAGGACACTCGGACAGCTGAACGTGCAAGCCAGACTGGCATCGATCGCGCAGTGCCACTTCGCGAGAGGAGGACCAAATCCTTGCAGAAGGCGACAGCTTTTTCCACGTAAGAGTGAGCAGAATGATGCTCTGGCACACACCTGTCGTGCCGAGTCGCGTCTACTCCCTCTTCCAGCAGCGCACGGCTCAACGCCAGACCCAAAGCGCCAGTCCCGCCTGTGATCAAGTATGTTGCGCCCTCCCGGACTTGCAAGTTTGATGGTACTTTGACGACGATCTTCCCGATGTGATCTGCTTTGCGAAGAGTTTGTAGAGCTTCAGAGCAGGACTCCAAGCCATCAAAAACTCTGGAGGGTATCGGATCCCAGGATCCATCCATCATCCTCGAAAGCAACGTCTCGCCCATTCTTCGGATAAAACATGAAAAAGCAAAGAAGATGCACTACGCATCTTCTTCTTATGATTCAGCACGAGAGCACGAGCAGTCCCGAAATGTTCTGAGTCTCCGCACCATGCACTACACGTCTCTCGTCACTTCATTTCTATCTGGGTAAGAGTAAGAGGCGACACACACATCTCTCTCTCTCTCTCTCTCTCTCTACCAGGCAAGAGGAAAGGGGCGGACACCCCTCCCCTCGCACGCGAACGCGCACCTGCAAGTCTTGGCAGGTTTTACAACTTCCTGGTGGGGGGTTTGGCCCCCCCTCTCTTTTCTTTCTTTCTGCAGGGCGTAGGGGTCAGCCGTGGCCGACCCTCAGGCCTTCGGCCCGCCCCACCACGCATTGTGTTATTGAGTGGCAGGCTTTGGGGCCCGTCTGACTGCTGAGCCCCCCCCCCCTCCCTCTCTCTCTCGCTCTCGCTCCCATGGTTGCTCCTCGGCTTGTGCTTCGGCACGCGATGGTGTATACACTTAAGTGCGTACTCTGACCTTCGGGCCGGGTCAGAATGACCTGCTGGCCCTGCCGCGCAAGGGTCCTTGTCTCAGTCCCTGTCAGAGTCAAAAGTTTGCTTTGCTTTGCTTGGGGTAAGA